ATGGTCAACAACAGTTAGTGAGGTTATAGCGGAGAAGGACGGATCGGCGATTCACTCGCAGGGAAGGCGACTGGGACGATGGGCAGAACACTTTGAGGAACAGTTTAACTGGCCTCCAGCCACCATTGCGCTGCCCGCTATCCAGTCGGACCCTGAATGGGACATAGAGACAGGTCCCCCAACACTAGAAGAAGTTGAGAAAGCGGTAGGTAGCCTGAAACGGGGAAGGGCAGCAGGACCAGACGGACTACCTGCTGAGGTATACAAGAATGGTGGTAGAGTTCTCTTAGTCAGGCTAACGGAAGTGTTAGCCAGTATATGGGAATCAAATACGATCCCCTCCGACTGGTCTAAGTCACTCATATCCCAGTCTTCAAGAAAGGCGAGAAGTCCTCTTGTGATAACCACAGAGGAATCAGCCTGACAAACATAGTGTCTAAGATCCTAAGTTCTATAATTCTCCGACGCCTGAGTGGAGCTCGGGAACAGCAAGCCCGAGAAAACCAGGCAGGCTTTAGACCTGGCCGTGGATGTATCGACCAAATATTCACACTGCGCCAGGTCCTGGAACATAGGCATGCTTACAGACGCCCGACAATAGCTGTATTTCTCGACCTGAAGGCGGCATTTGACTCCGTTGATCGAGAAGTCTTATGGCAGTGTCTGTCACTGAAAGGCGTGCCTAGTAAGTACATCACCTTATTGAAAGCTCTCTACTCGAACACTTGTGGGCATGTTAGAGCCTATGGTGAGTTGTCCAGGGAGCTATACTCATCAAGTGGTGTCCGTCAAGGATGCCCACTATCCCCATTCTTATTTAATTTTATCATAGATATTCTTATGGAGGTTTCCCTCTCGTCACCTAATTACAAAGACGTTGACCGAATCACAGGTGAATTTTCCTTAGATCTAGAATATGCAGATGACATAGTCCTGTTAGGTGAAGACGCTGACAAGATGCAGAGTCTTCTGAACACTTTGAGTGGGAATTTGAGAATGTTTGGGATGCGATTTTCACCACCCAAATGCAAATTTTTGCTCCAGGACTGGTCTTCAGCGGTACCGCGGTTAACAATAGAGAGTGAAGTGGTTGAGTGTGTTGACCACTTCACTTACCTGGGAAGTAGGATCAACCCGGTGGGTTAGTTGCCGATGAGATTTCTGCACGGATACAAAAGGCTCGATTGGCTTTTGCCAATTTGCGCCACCTATGGCGCCGCCGTGATATTCGTTTGTCTATTAAGGGTCGCGTGTACTGCACAGCAGTCCGCTCTGTTCTACTGTATGGCTGTGAAACATGGCCATTGAAAGTGGAAGATACAAAAGGTTCAGGTGTTTGACCACCGTTGCCTTCGTAGTATAGGACGTATTCCGTGGTGTCACCATGTGAGTAATGCAGAAGTTAGGTGTAGAGTTTTAGGGAGAAGAGGTAAGTCAGTCGACGAGGTTGTGAACCTTCATCGACTGAGATGGTTGGGACACGTACTACGTATGCCTAGTCACCGATTGCCTCGTCACACAATGTTGGCTGAGGTGGGTTCAGGCTGGAAAAAGGCCCGAGGTGGCCAGACTAAAACATGGCACCAATGTATGAAGTCTCTGACTGTTGGTTTAAGCCATGTAGGACGATGCAGACTAGGTGGTTGGGGTCCACGGGACAAGAGGAACCAGTGGTTGGAGACCCTAGGTGATATGGCTCAGAACCGAAGTCAGTGGCGCAGATGTATACACACATTATCCTCATCTTAACAACGCTATACCGAATCTCACTATTTTGTCACTCCTCTTTCCTTTCTTCTCGTACTTTATATTTCTTTTGACTGCATTCACTTATCTTCATCCTTCACCTCACTACCTTTTTACTTGATGTGCTGATATGAGGTGTGGCAACTCGGACCGTTACGCAGTAATGCCTGGTCCTATGTTGATAATGATGATGATGATGAGATGAGGACGTCAAAGCCACTATGGGAAAGATAGCAAAACAGACCTTTAATAATCCGGAATCAGTGTAGAGATCTACTGCACTGCACTGCACTCAGCATAAAGCATGAACAAAATCCGGATTCTCAACAGTAATGTCAATCAAGTCAGTGCTTCTATATGGCTCAGAAACTTGACGTGTCGCGAGAAGGATTTCCAACAAACTACAGACATTCATCAACAGCTGCTGACTACGCTGACGCAGTACTGAAGATCAGATGGTCAGAAAAGTAAGCAACAAACCCTCTGGTAAGACAATGAACCAACCAACAACCGATTGCCCAAATGATATGCAGTAGAAAGCGGAGATTGTTTGGTTTGGATTGGATTGGACATACAGTGAGAATACCAATTGGGGAATCACGCACCAGACGAGGCCGTCGAGTGAAAGCCGAATAGGAAACGACGAGTTGTTTGCGTGAGGGTGACATGGAAGAGATGGTGTATGGGAAAGAAATGAAAGCTTCAGGCGAGTCGTGGAGCCAGGTTCAAAAAACTGCAAAGAAGAGGGAAATGGAGACCTGCTACTGAAGGCTTATGTCTCACTAGGAATTCAAAGGACAAATAATAATAATGATAATATCATTGAACACATGTCATGGCGTTTTATTGCTGACTGATTCTCATATACTCTCTTGGCTGTTCGACAACTGGATTGACCAAAACGGTGATGCTGATAGTTTTCAGCAGATTTTGTAGACGATATTTGTCTTGCCTTCTTTGAGTCATAGATCTTTCAACTTGCAGAATATATTCTGTAGAGGTGTGGTTGAGTTATATTTTAAGATGATATCAAATAGGTGAAGTAATTGGTTTATACTATCTCAGATATCTTTGATATGACAAAAAGGTTCATTATGTGGAGTCAACTCAATTTTCTGATGTCTATTCTGTCGAAAGGTACTTCTTCATGAAACTGACTGCATAGTCATCGGCTCTGAACACTTTATAAAGATGACTTTTGTCTGACTTCCATACTTGTCGAGTGCTACAATGAATCTTGTCACATCCATATAGTACTTGAAGGCAACTCTTCTTATGAAACATTGGGTTATTACTGTTTTAGTTCTAAAACTGATCTGTTTGTGTGTCACCTTCCCGTAGACCTGCATCTGAACGGCTACATCATATGTTGTATCGATAAGAAAGTCTAATAAAGGGAATTAGTCGTCTTCTTTGCCGTTTGTGAATTGAATATACCTTCAAGCCTTTAGTTTGTACGGTTGAACGTGTTTCCTAATTCAGTTATTTCCAGAAATACAAAAAGTGTCGTTAAATAAATAAATCTTCATTTTTTTATTCTGATTATTAAATGATTATTGATTCCAATCTCTGTATAACTGCTCCAACAATCAGTTTAGATATTGACCAACCCTTTAACAATTCCTGTAACTTGAACTGGAAGTATATCCAGAGACATATGTTGATCTTAGTTGGTTGAAGGCAATCGTCAAGAAGCTCTGGACCTAGGTTTCCTGCTGGTTGGCACTCGTCAGCAAGGTGTATCTGAAACCTCGAATGAATTGATGTCCTTTCTGAGATTCCTACCCACATCACCCAATGCTGAAGTAGAAGATGTTACCAATGAACTATCCGGGCCGCGACTGACCTCCTACAGCACTGGATTAAGTACACTGACTGGTCACTGGAGGGCAACCAATTTCATTTCCTCTAGTTCTGAGTGCTGACCAGATTCGATCGTTTATTTTGGAATGTGACCACTGAAGTATACTTGGATACATGCTACATGGGATTATTAGATGATGGGACACTAGTGGGCATATGAAGCCCGAGAACGTTAAGATACTTTCTTCACTGAATCGAAATTTCAGCTTCCAAACTTCTATCTCAGTAGATCGTTGGCTACTATGTGAACTTGATATTATTATGAGTAATAGATTGCGCTTGAAACATTGTTTAGTAAATTATACCATATCATTGTGTACTGGATCAAATAAATGTACTTTATAAGAAATTACCCTCTACCATAGCATTCGAATTCAATGTTTACATTGTTGAAATTCTCCTAGTAGGGTATCTATTTCAACGGTAACGTTTGTCTTTTTTAGTCAAAGTTTTGATTCAAGATATAACTCTTACAACATTAGAAAAAAAAATTCGCTCTACGTAGAAATATTTTCATGAATATTTTCTGTTTAATAGTGTATCATTCATTTTACCTTTGTGGAGAGGAATCTCACCGGTTTTATTTGGTCTGCAAGGATATTTTTGTATGCATGAAGTCTCTGACTGTTAGTTTGATCTATGTGGGGCGATGAAGACTAGGTGGTTGAGGTCCTATAGACAAAAGGAACCAGAGGTTGGAGATTGACTCTAGGTGATCACGTGGCTGAGAACCGATGTGAGTAGTGCAGATGTATATACACATTATCTATTCTCATCTTAACGACGCTATACTGAATCTCACCATGATGAAGTGTGTTAACTTGGACCGTTACTCAGTAATGCCTGGTGCAATGTTGATACTGATGAGGACGATGTTTTTTACTTGAAGGATTACTTTGCAAATTGTTTGCAAATTACACGATCTATGATGATATTTCTCAGAGGTGATTAGTTTTTCAACTGTACAATTATAATGTAAACCTTTTTTCCTTTAGTAAGCGCTTAACCAAAACAAAAAATTGTTATTTCTGATACAAAATGGTTATGGAATAACACTATATACTACTGGAAAACATAAGTAGTCAGAAAGCGCATGACTAAACATATCAATTGTGTAAATGAACGAATTCAGTTTGAAGATGCAAAGTGTTTAGCCGTATGGGCTTGATTTATTCGAATGGTTATGACAGACCTTAATCATGAAAATAATTTACGCTATTGGTTGATATCCAAGACTATTCCAAAGGATTTCTACTTTGGAGTTAGATTGTTGACAAAACATTAATCTTATCGCCTTTACGGCTCAAATTTTATCGAAGTAACTTACTGTTACCATAAAGTGGTAGGAGATAAGAAATAGTGTTTTTTTTGTACCTACAATACAACTTTAGAGTCAATGGTCCTGAGTCGACAAATCGTTCAATGGCAACTACAGTAACAACAACAACAACAACAACAACAACGACAACTAGTCCAGATAATTCACAAGAACAAAAGTGTCAATTGAATGCTGATTATGGTCCAGCTAGTGATGTAGTTCGTCGTAAACAAAAACTAATTGAAATTGAATCGGAACCAAATTATGAAGAGATATCTGATCGACCAGATCCAAAACCATTAGAATTATTCATATCTGGAGTGGCTGATTTTGTTCAATACAAATGTGAAGTGACCAGAATTGACTTTAAAGAAACGCATATTTTTGAAAAGCGAATTTACAGGTTTGTCTTACAATCACAATAACTTTGGTTGTTTATAGTAATTTGGTTGGTTGTGCTTAGCAAAGGAATCTACGACGTGCAATTAATCCTATTTTGGACTCACTCGTCAGCTAGATATACCTGTATCCCAGTGCGGAGTGATATTGGGACTTGAACCTCGTATCCGTCACTTCAAACGCCAAGGCGTTATCCGTATGCCAATAAAGGTCAAACAATTCAATCCAATAAAACAACAGAGAATCACAAGTATATCAATGAGTTTGGTCGTTTGGTTGTTTCTTAGAAGTATGTGTGATAATATATGAGGAAGACAGATGAAGGAGTATGATTGTATGGTTATATGCTGCATGCAGTCAGTGGAGAACACTATCACCTAAAGTCTTCAACAATATCAGAAATCAAGTTGTAACTTAAGCTTATTAGAAATCTTACCTGAAAATAGTGGAGAGTACAGTTAGCAAACTACAGTACTAAGCAGTGATCGTATTATTTTAATTGACTGACTGTTTTTGGTTAACTGTGATGATCGTCGTATATGAATTATATCGCTGCATTCACTGTTAGCCTAGTCGCCATCTGCCTCATCATACAATGTTAGCCAAAGTAGGTCCAGGCTGGAAAAAGCCTCGAGGTGGCCACACTAAAACATGGCACCAATGCATGAAGTCTCTGACTGTTGGTTTAAACCATGTAGGACGATGCAGACTAGGTGGTTGGGGTCCACAGGACAAGAGGAACCAGTGGTTGGAGACTGGCTCTAGGTGATCACATGGCTGAGAAGCGATGTCAGTGGCGCAGATGTATACACACATTATCCTCATCAGATTAGAAGGTAAGAAAGAATAAACAACAAGGATCTCACTCTGACCTGATAACGAACCAACTAAAACTCTGTCGCCCAACGAATAGGTAGAAGGAGAAAGTGGAGATTGATTGGGTTGGAATGGACACGGAGTTAGAAGACAGTTTGAGGAAATCACGTGCCAGGGCAGGCCAGACCAGCCCAGGTCGTTGAGTGGGACCGAAATGAGAAAGACGATTTGGGCGTGTGAGGGTGACATGGAGGGGATGGTGTGTGAAGAAGAAATGAAAGCTCATGGGCAGTCGTTGAGCCAGGTTTAAAAAAAGACTGCGTAGATGAGAGTGAAATGACTATCTGCTACCGAAGCCGTATGTTCCACCAGGAACCCAAAGGACAAATAATAATAATAATGGTCTGCGATATAGTCCCATGGTAACATTGAAAAGACAAGACTTTGAGGGAATACAGTTTCATCAGGCTTTACCTTTAAATACCTTATTTCAAACTTAGAAACAAAAACTCTGAGTGATTACATGAATTTTGCACTAAGTTATCCGCATATGAAGATAATTTAAGGATTAAAACTGGTTTATTTTACAAGATTTTGAATAATTAATGCATGAAATTATTCACTAGTGTAGGTCTTCTCTATTACAATTGATTACACAATATTTCGAACTTGCAGAAGTAGTAAAATTGGATCACTGGATTCTGACTCAGTGCCGCATGAGTGACTTGTTGGCCACGGAACCTAAAGGTTCTGGGTTCAATCGTTGGCGTGATCATAGGTGCACGCTTCTGCGGAGTCCCATACTAAGACGAAACAACTATCGAGTTCTCCTAGGTTTTCTATGGTTCTCCATGATTAACACTAATTTAAAGTAACTTAGACTAACTTTTAAGGTCACTCTGCAAACGGCCTAGTAACCAATCGGGTTTCGGTATTCTAGCTAGAAAGGTTGTTTTTCATAAAATAGAACAGCCCAACTAGTTACCGTAGCAGTTACTAAAGTTGCCTTTAAATCACTTTTAAAGTTGGGCTATTTTAGAAGTCACCCTAGCAAGTATTAAATGACTAGGTCTCTCCATTTCGGTTGGAAAGACAGGTTTTCACAAAATACAGAATTCTAATTGGTTATTTCATTTGTTGCTAGGACGGGCCTTAAAACCATTCTTAGAGTCATCAGATAAATCTCTACAAGCCTCTAAATCGGACTATAACTGAATCAAAACTGAATAACTTTAATAGGCTACCCTAGCAACTGCTGAGATGAGCAATCAGTCTTAGGTATTTCCTTTGATAAGTACTTTTCGATAAAATAAAGGAATTTATTTGACGGTCATATCAGTTGCTTGGGTGGCCTTTAAAGTCACCCTTAAAACTAAAATCATATTAAAACTTGCGCACTATGGTAGAATATGATTCCATTCTTGTTGGTATATTAGATATATGACAAAGTGGAATAATAGTATTGTTAACTGGAGTATGTTTCGGAAACACTTTATTGTCCATAGTCATATCAAGATAACTGCACAACTTTGAGACACCCTTTATATGGTCCTAACTTCCTCACCTCCTTTGTGACATGGGTAGTAAGATTTTTTATACACCCGCAAGATGTGCTGAATCATTTCTGTTCCATGTATTTGGTGTTGATATAAATCAACGAAGATTCAGTTTATACTGGGTGATGACTGAAGGGGAAATGAAAATTTGAACCGCGGTTGGATTCGAACCAGAGACCATTGGGTTTCCGGCCTTATGTTGTACCAATCTCTTCACCTTCAATCATCACCCAGTATAAATATTTGTCTGCCAAACTACGGCTATCTCAGATAGTCAAATGATAAAGATTCAGTTATCAATCTCTCCACTCTGTTATGTTAGTTTTAAGGATTGTCACTCTGTCCCATCTTATTGTGTGGTTATGTCCAATCGTATGCATATGTATTTTACTTATTATTATTTATTAGTCCCTTGGGTTCCTAGTGGAACATAGGGCTTCAGTAGCACGCCTCCAGCGACCTCTGTTCTCTGAGATCTTTTCAACCTGGTCCCACGACAGCCCACAAGCTCTCATTTCCTCCTCGCACGATCTCCTCCATGTCACCCTCGGACGTCCAACTCGTCGCTTCCCATCTGGGTTCCACTCGAGAGCTTGGCGCGTGATGTCCTCAGTCGGCCTTCTCAGTGCATGGCCAATCCATCTCCACTTCTTCCTGCATATTTGTTGCGTGATAGGTTCTTGGTTGGTTCGTTTCCAGAGTTCCTTGTTGCTTATTCTTTCTGGCCATCTGATCTTCAGTAGCGAGCCAGCGTAGGCAGTTGTTGATGAATGTCTGTAGTTTCTTGGAAATGCCTTTCGTGACGCGCCAAGTCTCTGAACCATACAGGAGCACTGACTTGACGTTGCATATGTATGGCTGAGGTTTTTTCTAAATTCCTTACCTTAGTAGGATCTAACAGTTTTGATCCATCTAGTTTTTTGTGTTCAGATAGGCTAGTCGACCCTGGTCGACTACTTTCACCTGAGTATCTGACCGCGCAATCATTGCAAGAGATTCGGTAAATTAAGTCATTCTGCTTGAACTACTAGTGAACACAAGCCCACAAAAGCAGAACTCCTGAACGCCATAAAGTTGTTAAAATCCGGGAAAGCAGCAGGACTAGATGGAATCCTGCCAGAAGGACTGAAGACAGACGCAGAAACAACAGCGGACATGCTCATACCACCATTGCAGAAGGTTTGGAAGGAAAGAGAGAAAGGTACCTGCCAACTGACTGAAAGAAGGGTTACCTGATCCAACTCCCAAAGAAGGGAGACCTAAGTCTTTGCAAGAATTGGCGAGGAATCATACTGCTGTCCAACCCAAACAAAATATTGAGCCTCATCATCCTGGAGAGACTTAAAGATGCTCTGGATTCAAAGTTAAGACCAGAACAGTCTGGGTGGCTTCAGGAAGAACAAATCATAAGCGGATCAAATTAAAACGTACGCTACTCATTATCATAGAACAGAGCATAGAATGCCAGTCAACTGGACCTTGACCTCAACTTCACCCACTTCGACCGAGAAGTAATTTGGCAGGGAGCTGCTTCAACACTACAGTTTCAGTGCCACAAACCTTGATCAACTTTATTCAACAACTATATGGAGAAGCCATATGCCAAGTGATTCACAATGGAAAGCACAATGATGCCTTTGAAGTGAAGACATGGGTAAGACAAGTTTGCTGCCTACTGTCATCACCGATGATCTTCCTGATTGTAGTCAACTGGACTGTACTGGACGATGCAAGAAACTGTGAGATGATGGGCATACGCTGTGTTGAGCAATGAGAAGACCCTAGAAGATTTGGATTTCACCGATGATTTGTGTCTAATATCTCACAAACTTGAAGATCTACAGGCAAAAACTAACAAGTTGACAGAAGAGGCGAGGTAGTGAAGACGGGACTTCAAGTGAATGTAGAGAAGATGGATGTGATGAAAATACCCAACCAACAACAGCATCAACAACCACCAATGACTATGAACGGGAGGAACCTAAAAAAGGTAGTCTCTTACACCTACCCACCTAGGCAGCATCGTCTTAACTACAGGCAGTGGCACAGATGAGGATGTTAAAGCAGCCAGGATGGGAAAGACAGGAAGACAGTGGAGATCCACTCCACTCCACTCCACTCAGCATAAAGCATGAACAACATCCAGATTTTCAACACCAACGTCAAGTCAGTGCTTCCACATGGTTCAGAAACTTGGCGCGTTACGAAAAGCATTTCCAAAAAACTACAGACATTCATCAACAACTGCCTACGCTAGATCGTTACTGAAGATCAGATCAGATCAGATCAGGTCAGATCAGATGGCCAGAAAGAATAAGCAAGGAGGAACTCTGGTCTGGCAACGAACCAACCCACCAAGAACTTGTCGTCCAACAAATATGCCGAAGAAGAAAGTGGAGATGGATTGGGCATGCACTGAGAAGACCGATTGGGGAGACTACTCTCCAGTCTAGGCCTTCGAGTGGAATCCAAAGAGGAATTCTCTGTCTACAGTATTGTCACTTATTATTATTATTACTAAGGATATTATTGCTACTATTAACATAAGTGTTACTAATGTTAGTCATATTTGTTTTACGATTCCTGAGGTACTTATCAGATAATTTGGTACTGTAAATGTCAACAATACTGTTAAAATCATATCAGACAGTCAGTAATCATGGCTCGAATGAAAATTGGAAACATAAAAATTATACGAATGTGAATCAAGGGGGAAAACAACCACTAAATCAGACTGATATAGAATAGGAAAAAGTTAATTGATACATCGGTCACCTAAATTATGTAAATTCCATCTTTTTCAACAAAAAGCTTTGATAATTTGGTTAGTTGTATCTAGCAGAGGAATCCAGGACTCTCGTTTCATCTGAGGTCGAACAATTCGATCCAATAAAAACAACGGAGAGTTACAAGTATATCAATAGATAGTAATAACTACTATTCATTGTACAAGAAGTAGCTATCATGCCTCCATAGCATAAAGGATAATGCTTTAGCGTTTGAAGCGATGGGCATGAGATTCGAGTTTCAATGGGAACAACATTACTCAACACTGATGTGCAGGTCCATCCAGCTGATGAGTGAGTCCTAAAACAGGACAAATAGAGTGTCCTAAATTCCTCTGCTAGACACAATCAACCAAATTATCATAATTAACATTCAGGTAATATTGAGACATTTGCATAGGAGTCCATATGCCAACTGAGGGTTGAACGGTTCGACTCAATAAAACAACGAAGAATTACAAGTATGTCAATAAACAGTTAAAAGTTTTAAATTCACAACTGTTTTTGCAGAAACTTCAGTATAATTGCTTGTACCGAATAGATTGTTCTCTATTGACATATGGGCTCCTGTGCAAGAGCCTTGATATTACCTGTTTTGTTTATATGAGTTGTAATAATGATGCATAGTGGCTAGCAGTGAAATTCAGGATATTCCCAGATGGGAATAACATCATTCACTGAGAGCCAGGTACATCCAGCTGACGAGTCTGAAATAGAACGAAATGCACATCGTGAATCCCACTGCTAGCTATTATCCATCATTACTCTATAATTCAATGTGGTATCTTGTAGATGATGAAGAAATTAGGAATTTGGTGTCCATTATCAATTAGATAGGACTGGATAGAGTTTGTAATCTTCTATATCTTTCTTTTTAAAATGTGTGAAAGAATATCTACGATTATGGCTAGCAAAATTACAATGGAGGTTAACAGTGATTTTATAAAAGGCGCGTATCTCGTGTTGTTTAAAACTCTTTGGCTGGATTTATTGGTATCCTATTGACAAATACTAATCCCTACACCCAACATTTTAAACATCAGAGGGTTACCTACCAAGCTACTGAGATTCTACAATGGGTATAATTTGTTATTATGAATTGATACTTTTATAACTTGGCCTTGTTATATCAGATTGAATTAATCAATCTCATTTGACATTGCTTGAAGATTCATAGCTTTTTTAAAGTTAATCGATGTTTCATTGTTCTACTAGTTATTTCTGTCATTATAACCTAACACAGCTTTGTCTTTAGTAATGACATTCATTTACTTAGAAGTAGTATTCATCATGAATTGATATCAGTTGGGAAACCACTGGATAGCTGTTTCGTCCTAATATGGGACTCGTCAGCAGTACACACCCAAGACCGTGAGACCTGAAGGTCCTGATATCCATCCCTAGCTGGGTCGTGGGTGCCTACTGCTGAGGAGTCCCGTACTAGGACGAAACAGCTGTCCAGTGGTTCCCTAACTAATATCAGTCCATGATGAATACTACTTCTAAATTAAAAAAATCCCCATTCATCTCAAAAATACATTACTGTATAATGCTCATTACTGACTTGCTTCCAGATGAATATCATGAAGCTGTAATGAGAAGCCGTGATCTGTGTGGTCAACCAGTTGGAAGTGAAGTGGATGCTAACTGAAGACCTTGGATGATAGTCACGCCATGTCGTGAATTGATAGAAGTTGGAAATTGTGAACCACTGGAAACTGACCCACTAGCTGAATGGTTAACACGTTTGCCGTGAAACCTGAAGGTTCTGAGTTCGGTCCCTAGCCGGGTTTAGGGTGCTTACTGCTGAGAAGTCCCATAATGGGACGAAACAGTTATTCAGTGCTCCCAGATTTTCAATGATTCCCCAACTGATGTCAGTCCATGATGAATACTACTTCTAAATTGAAAAAAAATCCCCATTCATCTCAAAAATACATTCATTTATATTTATTTGTTAGTAAATACAAAATACTAATTATCACTATTATGCTATATATACTCTATTTATAATGATATAGATTTGAGATAATCAATTCAGGATTGATAACCCTTCATTTTAATTGGTCAATTCAAATGATGAGTCCATTGCCTGAAACTTTAGGAGATAATAACACTTTGAATAATAGGATTGATGAAAGTTATCATGAACAATGGGAAAGATCACTTATTCCATTCACAATTGATCCAGTTGAAGGTAGTATATTACCCGGGAAATCTTATTTCATTGAAGTAAGTAATTTTAATCATATTTATCTATAGTGTTTTATTGATTGAAAGGTTTAATTAACGTTTTAGAGACAATTTTTGCTTGAAATGTGATTTACAATGCTATCAGAGGAAAATGGTCGATGAAGAAAGAAGACGGGACATATTTGTAATTCAGATTAGCGATCTTGACAGGTTTGGATTCTGGGCATTGTCCATCTAGATGTCAACATCTTCAGCACTAACATCAATATGAAATGAACCGTCAGGATTTCTCCGTGAATGATTCTGTAATTTGCCTTGATAGGTTGATGTGTGATTAGTAGTATCCCTTAATTATTGTATCATTATCTGACTGTAAAGATTGTCCTGTTGGTTATTTCTCTATCTTGACGTCTGACCTTATGTTTGTTTATTATTTTTATCATCTGACTGACCTGGGTTCCACTCAACGACCTGGCCTGGCGCGTGATAAACCCGAATGGTCTTCTGCGTGTATGCCCAACCCATCTTCACTTTCTTCTGCATATTTGTTCAGCGATAGCTTCTTGGTTAGTTCGTTGCCAGCGAGAGTTCCTTGTTGATTATTCTCTCTGGCCATCTGATCTGATCTTCAGTAACGAGCCAGCGTAGGCAGTTGTTGATGAATGTCTGTAGTTTGTTGAAAATGCCTTTCGTAATGCACCAACTCTCTCAACCATCACACAGAAGCACTGACTTGACTGATATTTGTGTTGAAAATCCGGATGTTGTTCTACATGCTGAGTGAAGAAGATCTCCACACTGGTTTCAGGCTAATGAACACTTGAATCGACGAAATATCCTGACGTTTAATTGTTAACTGCTGTTCATGCGACAATGATGAAGCAAGTGACTACGCTTTGTTCAATGCAGTCATCATCATCATTATTATCAACATAGAATCAGGCATTACTGCGTAACGGTCCGAGTTGCCACATCTCACGTCAGTTCATCATGTAGAAAGCTAGTGAGGTGAAGGATGAAGATAAGTGAATGCAGTCAGAAGAAATATAAAGTATGAGAAGAAAGGAAAGAGGAGTGACAAAATGGTGAGATTCGGTATGACGTTGTTAAGATGAGGATAATGCGTGTATACATCTGCGCCACTCACATCGCTTCTCAGCCATGTGATCACCTAGGGTCTCCAACCACTGGTTCCTCTTGTCCCGCCGACCCCAACCACCTAGTCTACATCGTCCTACATGGCTTAAACCAACAGTCAGAGACTTCATACATTGATGCCATGTTTTAGTGTGGCCACGTCGAGTCTTTTTCCAGCCTGGACCCACTTCAGCCAACATTGTGTGACAAGGCGATCGGTGACTAGGCATACGTAGTGCGTGTCCCAACCATCTCAGTCGATGAAGGTTCATAACCTCGTCAACTGACTTATCTCTTCTCCCTAAAACTCTACACTTGACTTCTGGATTATTCACGTGGTGACACCACGGAATAGGTCCTATACTACGAAGGCAGGCAACGGTGGTCAAACGTTCAATGCAGTGGTGATTGCAGTTATTGCGGTTGACTTTATAAATTATATTTGCTTTGTCTTCTTTGGTTATTGAAGAGAATCTCTTAGTTTATAAATCACATGAATTTTAAATGATCTCAATAGTCTTGTCATAATGTCTGACATGTTGTTAATATATGACAGAATGATCCATTTATTGTTTTCCATGAATGACCTTTAGGTAATCATAAGTTGGATAGGCATCATGTGATGATGTTTCTAGGCTAACCTTCCTTATTTAAAAATCTTAACTGTTCAATCTATTTTGCCTATTAACGGTGATGATATTGTCTAGAAAGAAAATGTAAACTTCATAATTGAACTATTCAGCTAAAAGAACGCAACGCAACCGAAACTTAACAAAAAAAGGTTACTTTTCGTTGATATTATTCTCATTGACCCTCACCTATCCATTATCTCTTCTCTTAAACAAAAGTAACTGGAACTGATGCATTTATTTGCCAAATTCTATGTTGATTTTTCTGTTTGTTTCACTCATTAGAAGCGGTACGGTCCTATTTTTAATAGGGATAAACACTCCTACATAACTGATTCGGTATTGAGTAATTTGAGAGATACTTATTATTACAAGTTTCTTGGGTTCCTAGTGAAACATATGGATTCAGTAGTACACAGTCACTTCACTCTCTTCTCTACAGTCTCCTTAACCTGGCTCCACCACTACCTATAAGCTTTCATTTCTTTCTCACACACGATCTCCTCCATGTCACCCTCACACGCCGAAATCGTCCTTTCGTATTCGGCTTCCACATGACAGCCTGGCCTGGCCTGATTCATGATGTACCTAAACTGTCTCCTCAGTCCATGTCCGATCCATCTCCACTTTCTTCTGCATATTTGTTGGGTGATAGGTCCTCGGTTGGTTGGTTCGTTGTCAGGCCAGAGTGAGTTCCTTCCTTCTTATTCATATTGTTCTGGCCATCTGATCTTGATATTTAGTATTGAGTGAGCGAGTGAGCGTAGGCGGCAGCTGTTGATGAATGTCTGTAGTTTGTTAGAAGTGCTTTTCGTGACACTCCAAGTTTCTCAACTATTACATAGAAACATTGACTTGACTGAATTAGTGTTGAGAATCCGGATCTTGTTCACGCTTTGTGCTGAATGGAGTGGAGTGGATCTCCACACTGATTTCGGAATAATGAAGGCCTGTCTTATTGTCTTTCCAATCGTGGCTTTGACATCCTCATGTGTGCCGCCGCCACCACCTGTAGTTGAAACGATGGTGTCTATGTAGGTAGGTGAAAGAGACAACTTCCTTCAAATTTCTCCCGTTCATGGTGATTAGTGATTGGCGTTATTATTGTTGTTGTTCTGTTGCCGTTGCGTGTCCTCATCACCTTTGTCTTCTCTACGCTCACGTGAAGGAAGTCACGTCCTTACTGCCACACCTCTTTTTGCCTCTTCTGCCAACTTGTTGGTTTTCGCCTGCAAATTTTCGAGTTTGTGTGACATGAGACGTTAGACATAAATCATCATCATGGGCGAAATCCAAATCTCCTGCAGTCATTTCATGAGTCAAATATTGTATTACTTACTTATTGATATCAGCTCTTAGCGAATAGAAAAACCACAGTGCTATTGGCTAACGTGTTCCACACTGTTTGTATTTTCAAAATGCTGATGGTTTTGTTGTCTGGTTTACTTCTTGAAATTGAAGAAAACTTTTAGATCAACTATGGTCAAGATTTGACTGACTCGTATTGCAAATATTGGACACCGAGAAATTGTATAAAATAGTAACTAAAGCAGTGAATACTTTTCCACCTTTGGATAGCTGGAAGGGGTAGGTTTTATTAACGTTACAAACATAACTTTCCGATGATTGAAAACAATGATGATTGGTGGGTATAAATATTCTTGTTGGTGAAAAACGTCAAGCCACTTTCTGTCTTCCGAGATCTTCAAAGCAAGATAGTATTATGAGCTTGAACTCATTCATTGCGTGTTCCACCAGCATGAACACGGTTGCTGAGTCACATTATCATTATCACATGATCACTGAATCTTGAGGCAAACAGTTAGACAAAATGGAGTGTACAGTCGACTGATGGCTGCTACACCTTGACGTGCTGGTCAGGTTTCAATATAACGATGGGTTTAACGAGTTACTCCAGCTGGAATGCTTGTTTCTTGAGTTCATACGATGCCAGAAAATTCTTTTGGATAATGGTCAGACAATAAACAGTTACCATCATGATATAAATTACTATGGTATGATAGAGGTTCAAGGGCGCAATCGTACTACTGGTTGGCCGGATTTTAACAACAATACAGTGTTCCTCTTAGATGACCAATAGTTCTATGCTGACGGTTTCTTCCCTATGAGAAGAGAGGGTTTCGGAAAGTTCTTCCTTCCCACCAGAAGTAGAACACTTTTTACTACCCTTACATTATCCCAATGCGAATGGGTTAGAACATTCAAATTTGAAACGAACTGTCTGAAAGGACGATGTATGACAAGCTTCAAGCAGACGTCCAGTGTGGTCTAAAATCATTCAAAAATGTTACTGTTCCTCTTTCAGGTGTCTTTCAGAGACAAATTCCGTGGTATAGATGGTATGGAATTACCAGCTGCCTGCACGCTTCTAGTAGTGTACGAAACCCAATCCAGTATAACCTAACCTCGCTTCATTTGTCTTCTCCCTTGCTTTCACTATCCGGATGCTGAATAATTCATGCTACATCTTGACTAGGCTATCATTACATACTAATAAACTATTGGTATCTCGTTAAGGTAAAAATTATGCTCGATATATAATCCACTCTTAAGATAAATTAAAGCTCCTTCTTTTGTTCATTTTTTATTTTTTAGGTTACATTTAATCCCCTTTTACTTGGTGAATTTGTAGCTCAACTTACAGGCAGTATTGATAATCTACCTTATCAATCTTCGACAAATTCTAATCGAAATCGGCAAGTTCTCCTACCACCGATAATAACAATAACAGGAAAATCAGAAAATTCAATTCTACACTTTGATTTGTATGATTCAGATTATTTGTCTAGTGGACGTAGAAATCCTGAGCTACCTGGACCAATAGGTACACCACTTGGTGCAAGTTTAGATCCATTCACTAGAGTTATTGAATTCAATACAGTTGGCTTAGGCTTAAGAAAAACTAGGTAAGAAAGATTTTTTTTCTTCTACATTTCAAATATGAAATGGTTGATAGCTTTAATTGGATATATTATTCATGACTACGTCACCATGAATTGAGATTAGCTGGAGGACTATTGAAACCTGGGAGCAGTAAACAAATATTTCGTGCTAGTTCGTGACTCCTCATCAGTGGGGGTCCTTGACTTCTCTAACTACCAGACCCAGGACCTTCCTATTTCGTGACAAGCACATTACAGTCGAGTCACTGGGTGGGAATCCAAAGGCCCACATTTTTCTACTTCCATCAGTTCATAGTACAACCTTTACCTTTATCCATACCATCGATGAGAACCAGATGGTCCTGAGTTCGATCCCCGGCAGATGAATAACAACTGGGAAGCAACAAAATCTCAACAAACCTACAAATTGAATTACACTTAAGTTTGTCGAGATAATCATAACAAGAATAATTTGAGCGAACAATTATATTCAGTAACTCCTTCTTCAGGCGCTACTCAGTTATAAATCCATGAGAATAAGTGAAGTACAATAGCCAAAATAAAGTATAGTGTACAATTATTACTTCATTATGAAACAGTCAGTGTTATGATGAATGAATGCAGATCAAATAGAATGGAATGGTGGAACTGTTATCAGTCTAGTGTTTTAATTGTGCAATGAAATCAATAGTGAAATAACAATTACGAAATGAGAAGACAAAACCTACAGATGATGATTCATTTATTAGGGTATGAATGTGTTTGTGTTTGTTTACTAATGGTCAAATAATGATTATGTAGTGATGAGTTATATTTGAGTGGGGTGAAAACCATGTGATTACTATAATAAAATAGACAATAACAAAATATGAAGATCAGATCATCAGAAAGAATAAGCAAAAAAGAACTCTGAGAACGAACCAACCAAGAACCTATCACCCAACAAATATGCAGAAAAAAGTGGAGACGGATTGGGCATACACTAAGAAGACCGATTGGGGACATCATGCGCCAGGCCAGGCCCTCGAGTGCAATCCAAAGGGGAAATGACGAGTTGGACTTCTGAGCCTAGAGTGACATGGAGGAGATGATGTTTAAATGAAATGAAAACTAGTGGGCAGTCGTGGCGCCAGGTTTTGAAGATTGGAGAGAAGAGAGTGTAATAGAGACGTGCTACTGAAGACCTATGTTCCACTAGGAAACCAAGGGACAAATAATAATAATAATGTCACGGTTGAAAATGACTACCTGTTGTGGTATGAATAAAGAAGGGTATAACATGAGAAAATGAATGTTTATCAATGTAATGACAATATAGAAGAAAGGGAGGTTAAAATGTGCATTTTGTGGTAGGAAAATTCACAAAGAACGTGGATGAACATATTTCTTTTGAACACATACACCCGGTTTTCTTCCATTGATCCCTACGACTTCGGCTATGGATAATATGCCAAGTCGTTTACATTTAGGGAGATTACAAGGGACAAGATATATCATAGAAGAGGCGTGATCTACCTTCATCTGATGTCCGATATATACTAGATGTGAGAGGATTGGACTGTTGATGTTCTTTATCATTCCTTTCCCTAACGAAGAATGTGCATGGATAGAGTCCTTTGAGTACGGTCTATGTAACCAGCTCCACATGAGCAGTTGAACTCATAAATGCACATTGAAGTGGCCATCATAGGTAACCTATTCTTGATTCGCTGTATCAGTAATGGTTTGTTTGAGAAGTTGATGAAAGGTTTTGCTGCATTGAGTGTCGTTTCGACTAGTCTATTCAATCGATGTGCTAAGATATCCAATGCAATATCACCTTCTTAGCAACATTGTCGTTCTTTATCTTCTCTCTAGATTTCGACATGTGTTTATATATCAAGTTCATTTCTTCTTCAATAGAAGTCATCAGAACATATACTTCTTATTCTGTAATGTAGGCATTTGATCAGATTTCTTTTATATTGAATCAATGTGAAGCTATGACAATGAATATATTGACCAGTCCCTTATGTTCCTTTTAATATATCCATCCATTTTCTTAGTGACGAGGATATCTAGGAATGGAATACTATTCTCTTGTTCTTCCTCACAGATGAACTTCATACCTTAGTTGACTTTATTGAGAAAATTTAGTTTCAAGAAGACTATCTGTAGGTTGTTTAGTATTTGTTATTCAGATCTTGAGTCCGATAAGTACTAATAATGAGAGTTTTATTTGTCCACTTGTCTCTATGGTAGTATGTATGAGAGATGATTTCTTCTATTAGCCAATAGGGTATGTGTTAATTTCAAAATTGTTTGAATGAAAAATTTCTAGAATTCGTCTAATACTTTTAGAGGTTTAATGGGGGATTTATTGATATCATAGTGATGATATTTATCATAGATTAACACATTAACCAATACAATTTCATAGTAGACAAAACTGTATAGCAAGTGAAGAAATTTGAAGAGAAAAATTAGTCAAAACACTCCAACTTTAAAAGATGTCAATGAGGGAATACATTTGAGATATTCTGTGATCGATTTTCAGTCATTTCAGTCATGGTTGCCAACCATAAATTCCTATCTTTTCGAGCACCCTAACCAGATTGTCTATACCTGCTGACAATAATATTATCACTAATTATCTTATAAGTTTTTGTAAACCTATTAATAAATTATGGAAGGTAGTTATTAAGTAAAAGTAGCAGTGTCACTTTAACATGTTTTAGTTACACAGTTTTCAAGTTTCAAGATAAAATATATAAACTAACTGAAGGTGTTACCATGGAATCATTAATATCCCTTATCGTCGCACACGTATTTATGGATAGTTTGGGAACACGTTGCCTTTCAAATATTTAGTCCTACTCTAAAGATAAGGTTCCGATATGTAGATGATACGTTTACAGTACTGAAATTGGAACACATCAATAGGTTCTTGACACACACTAATTCACTAGTGAATCCAATCCAACTTGGCAAGGGAAGAAGGTGAGCCAGCAATGTTGGACTGGAAGATTAAATGAATACAAGAAGGAAATCAAGAGACTAGTGTCTATAGGAAAAATACCTATTCGAATCGCTACTTAGACTTCGAGTCCTCCCCCCCCATTTCAGTTAAAGTAGGCCTAGTTAAATGATCAAGTGACAGAACGAAGAAGCTTACTAGGAGATCAGAAAATCTGTGACAAGAAATTAGACATATCAAGAATACCCTACGTCTCAATAATTACCCATCTAAATTTATAAATAAATTCATGAGAAATCGAAAGAAATATATTAGCAGTGGTAGTCGTAGTAATACAGGTGTTATTAATAATATTTCTACTACTAATAGTAATCATGGTGACAGGGTTGAGACAGAATTCAAAGACTCTGCTGTCTTACTATAGAAGGAAGGCACCTGAGAAGTATTATGAAGAATTCTCAATAATGCTGGCTGGAAATAAGGTGGCTGGCATTTGAACCAACAAACTCGTTGTGAAACAAACTTTGTAGGTTGAAAGATCCTATTGATGCAATTAAGCAAAATAATCTGGCTTACCAGATCCCTTGCAATGTTTGTGAGGTCAAGTACATAGGTCAAAGCAGTCGACCAGGGTTGATCAGAAAAACAGAGCACAAAAATGTGGCTAAATCAAGATTAATAGATCCTAATAAGATAATAAATCCAGGGAAAAGCTTGGCTATAGCTGTGCATGTGATGACACACAATCACACAGTAGGGTGGGATAGGGCGACAGTGTTGAAAACTAGCTTAGTTGGGTGGAGGGAGAGATTGATAACCGAATCTTTGTGTTTATCGAATCAATATCAAATATACGTAGTAATACATATGATTCTTCACCTGTCCCAGATATATGAAAAATTCCACTACCCTTGTCATCATAGAGAAGGACAGAAAATTAGGAATATATAAAGTCTGTCTGGAAGTTGTGGAGTTAGTTACCTGATATGAATATGGACAATAAATTGTGTCCGAAAATGGAATTAAAATCGATCACAGTGCCCAAGTTTTTCACTTATACATATTTAGGTTTACTGAAATACTAGTCAAACTCTTGGTCCGATTACTCAGACATTTTATCAAACCTAACCTTGATAGATATAGGGTAAGATGATGTCAGATGCAAGTATCCACATTGGCACAATTCAATTCACTTATGAGTTAGAAACTGAAGTAGGATAATTATCTATGTTGGATTACAAACTCGAGGGAAGAAAATAGAAACTTTTGTATAAAAGACAATATCTCTTGACAGGCCACATCCATGTGTATCTACCAGTTCACCTGCTCATGTGGAGCAAGGTACATCAGCCGTAGTCAAAGATTGCTGTCAACACGTATACGAGAACATATTCCTGCCTGGTTTTTATAAGAGTCAAAGGAAATGCATCAGAAGTTCTATCCTTGAACATTTAATCGATTCCAACCATTCAGCCGACTCAAAAAAGGATTTCAAGGTTGTTTATCGAATTCCCCTTACACCTCACGTTTCCTACGTGTTCAGCTTCTAAAAACAGAAGAGGCTTTGGCTATCCATCAACTGAAGCCTGACCTTTGTGTACAAAAGAAGTACGTACAGTCTTTGTCTCTACCTTGGCCTTAATTTATTTTAGTCTTGGTGTTCTTCGTCCTTTTTTCGTTTTTCATGCCCTTCCCCCTTTTTTGTCAGATTAATCTTTGTACTCTTATATCGTCATTATCACTCTGTTTTTTGTATTTATTTGTTTCCGGTGTTATTTCACTTGATCCTCCTAATAATAGAAACTTTTAACAAAACATTTTCAGTGCTCCCATATTTTCAATGGCTCCCCAACTGGTATCAGTCCATGATGAAAACTACTTCTAAAACGTTTTCAACTTACTCCAATTATACTATCTATTTTATTGCCTATCATATTGTTATTATAACCATTATTGTATTATTATTAGTAGTCCCTTGGGTTTCTAATGGAACACAGATCTTCAGTAGCACGTCTCCATTCCACTCACTTCTCTGCAATCTTTTCAACCTGGCTCCACGACTGCTCACAAGCTCTCATTTCCTCCTCACACACACCATCTCCTCCATATCACCCTCACCTCGGACACCCAACTCATCGCTTCCCATCTGGGTTCCACTCGAGTGCTGGCCTGACACGTGATGTCCTCAGTTGGACGATAGATTCTTAATTGATTCTTTTCCAGAGTCCCTTGTTGCTTATTCTCTCTGGCAATCCATCTGATCTGATCTGATCTTCAGTAACGAGCCAGTGTAGGCAGTTGTTGATGAATGTGTGTAGTTTGTTGGAAATCATTTTCGTAACGCCACGCCAAGTCTCTCAACCATCACACAGAAGCACTGATTTGACTGAGATTTGTGTTGAAAATCTGGATGTTGTTCCACATGCCGAGTGCAGTGGAGTGGATCTACACACTGGTTTCAGGCAAATCAACGCCTGTCTAGCTGTCTTTCCGATTCTGACTTTGACATGCTCGTCTGTGCCTGTGCCACCTGTAGTTGAAACAGTGCCTCCTAGATAGGTGAAGGATGTTACTTCCTTTACGTTTCTCCTGTTGATGGTGATTGGAGTTTGTTGTTGTTGGTTGGGTATCTTAACCACCTCTGTCTTGTCTACATTCACTTGAATAGTGTCACGTTTTCGCTGCCCTGCCTGTTCTGTCAACTTGTTAGTTTTCGCTTGTAGATCATCAAGTTTGTGCGACATTGGACACAAGTCATCGGTGAAATCCAGATCTTCTAGGTTCTTTTCCGTGGTCCCCTCTTCTCGCTCCCCACTGTTTGTTGCATGATCCAGTCGACCACTATCAGGAATATCGTTGGTGATAGTAGACAACGTTGTTTCACTCCTATCTACACTTCGAAAGCATCACTGAGCTTCCCTAACCATTATTGAAATACCCATAATTATTTCTTTTGAAAATACTGTTCAAAGAACAGATTTAAATAAATAATAAACAAATAATTTATTGTTGAGTATTTGTCCCCACTGCCATCAGGCTTTGACTCCACCGGTCACGACTTGTCATTGGAACTTCGGGAATACTTCTCGAAGCTAGTCACCAACGAGCACTAGTTCAATTAAATTTTGAGGGGGTTGTGGAGATTTGGAAATATTTCAAGTTGTTATTCATCGAAGACTGATATCAGTTGGAGGAACAAAGGAAACCTGGGAGCACTGGACAGCTGTTTTGTCCTAGTGTGGGACTCCTCAGCAGTGCGCACCCACGACCCCACCAGCAGGGATCGAACCCGCGACCTTCAGGTTCCGCGACCAGCGCGTCACCATTGAGCCACTGGGTCAGAATCCAATGCTCCATATTTCCAACTTCTGTTAGCTCACGATATAGCGCGAACCGCCACCCAATGTCATCGCTAACAGAAGTTGGAAATATGGAGCATTGGATTCTGACCCAGTGGCTCAATGATAACGCGCTGGCCGTGGAACTTGAAGGTCGCGGGTTCTATCCCTGCTGGTGGGGTCGTGGGTGCGCACTGCTGAGGAGTCCCATACTAGGACGAAACAGCTGTCCAGTGCTCCCAGGTTTCCTTTGTCCCTCCAACTGATGTCAGTCTTCGATGAATAACAACTTGAAATATTTCCAAATCTCCACAACCCCCTCAAAATTTAATTGAACTAGTGCTCGTTGGTGACTAGCTTCGAGAAATAATTTATTCTTATATTGGTAATTTAACATGAGATAAGGCAGTTTGCAGGCATCATTACATTGATATATGTTGGAAAATCTACAACATGTTATCTGTCCTGAATGGTATAGAAGGGAGGTCATTAAATTCGATTAAAAACATCAGAAGATTGTATAAGTTATGAGATGAACAAGAAAATACCAGAAGTCGGCATGTTTGATTTGTCTTCGCAATGACCCGTTAGGCTAAATAAACGTCTATTTTACTATAAATTCCTATACTTATAGCTTTAGCGACTAAAAGAACCTACACTGACGATATTAAGAATCCGTAAGTTTCCACATAATTTGTTGGAATATCACACTGAGAATCCCGTACAGCATCAAAAACATTGTCTGAAGTAAAGTGATTAGATCCAATATATGTACACACCCAGTGAATTAATCTTTAAAACATTTACCCTATCAGTTACTAACTTGTTGATTGTTAACTTACTAATAATCTTTAATAGTTTTAACAATGAATTACGGGAAATAATTTACTTTTTTTTTACCAGTTTTGTATCATATGTGACTGGAAGAATAGTGATAATAGTAATGATGGGAAGTGGAGAGCAGTGGAATCTGGGATATAAATTTTATCTTATTTAGGACTCATCAGCTGGAAGTATCGGCCTCCCAACTGGTGGTGTTCCTACCCCCCAGGACTCGAACCCAGAACTAGTTGCTGCAAACAACATTAGGCTACTGAGTGAGTCACAGTAGACAGTCCTTGTTCAACGGATATAGTATAGTTTTGGTGTCATAGCTTGTAAATCTGTGTCATCGGTTAAACTAAATTCATTAGCAACTATTGATATGTAGACTGCTGTACGAATGTCTCGATGATATTGTCAGTATTTTCTGTAACATACTTCTACTTTTGAAGTTATAACCAATCAAGACTACATTGTAGAATTTACAAACTGAACACTGTATTTGTGCTTTAAAACCAAGTAGACAGAATACGCCATTTATCTAAAATACAGTACTGTATTAAGCAATAACCCTAACAAGTAATAAAACTACAACCATAAAGTTATGAATTGCCGAAGTGTTTAATACACTGTCAAACGCATTAAGCTATTGCGTTGTTTAACACAAAAGTCAAAGCAGGAGAATATATCAAACCTAAACCATGGTTGACAATGAAAAGAGTTCGGAGAAAACAGAGGAGGTAAACGAATATTCAATGAATGATGTGACACAAGTGAAGCAAACTGGATAGGCTAAAATACCATCAAAAACTAACACGAGGGGTTAATAGAGTGTAATTTTTATTCATTAAATACAGGTGTATCACTTCAGATAAATTTCAAACTCAATGATGAGCATAAAATAACCATGATAATGATAATACTACTACTACTACTACTTATACTGCTGTAAGGCGAAGATATGAAGTGACTACAGGGTTTTGATCACATATATCCTCGTAGCATTGTTTGCGTTTAGTGGAACCACAGTGTGAGTAGTGTTGAGGTCAGGCAAAGGGTACTAGGCAAGACATGCAAATCTGTGTATGGGATTGTCAACCTTCATCGATTAAGATGGCTTTGACATGTACTATGGATGCCGAGACACTGCCTAACTCGATACGTCATGCTAGAGGATGTTGAATTAGGTTGGGAGAGGTTTGGGGGTGGCCAATCCAAGACATAGCACCAGTCCATGAAGTCCTTAACTGTTGATTTGAGTTATATAAGGTGATGTAAACTGCTTGGTTGTGGTCCCTGATAGGAAACAAACCAGTACTTGAGAGGCTTGACGACATGGATGGAGATCAGTCAGAATGGCGTGGATGCATTCACTCCTTGACAATTTTTTAAAGCTTGAATTATCACACTGTTTTTCCTCTCAAAAAACTTTGTCTACTTTGGTATCACTCTTTCTCTAACCATCTGTTCTTTGTGTAGTACTATGGAGTGCAGCCACTGAGCTGATGCACTTATGTTTACGACGTTCTAAGTTAACTTTGCTAGCGTCGATGTCACTACTTATAATCAGTAGTATAATCACAAAACAGCTATCAAATTATTTTAATCGATATGAAGAAAATACGACTCACTGACCAAATGAAATAAACCGAATGGTTAATTTACAAATTATATCTACATTGGATACATCAACAACAGCAGTTTCTATCTACTCATATTATTCAGTAGTATATTTTGTGAGGTGAAATGTTTCACGTTAAAGTTCAAGTCTCAGGGGGACACTCCTTACTGGAATGCAGGTACATTCGGCTGACGAGTCCTAAATAGGACGAAACATATGTCCTGGATCCCTCTGCTAGCCACAATCAACCAAATTATCATTCAGGTAATATTAAGGTATCCTCATAGGGAGCCCATATGCCAATACAAGTGTGAACAATTCAATCCAATAAAACAACAGATTATTACATGTGTATCAATAGGTATTAGTGGCTATCGTGACTCCGTGGATAACGCCTTGGCGTTTGAAACAATAGGCACAAGGTTCGAGTCTGATTGGGAACAACATCATTCGGCACTGATGTCCAGCTGATAAGTGAGTTCGAAATAAGACAAGATGCGTATCATAGATTCCTCTGCTAGCTACAACCAATCAAATTTTAGGGTTACCATTAAAAGGAATACATTTATTGATATACAACTTGTTTACATTGTGTATCCATTGAATAGTTTTCTTCACTATTCATTTGTTTTATTACAGATATTTTTCAATTATTAATACAACTAAAGAGAATTTTGAATTTATGATTAAAAATGAAGATTCATTTAGCATTCAAGAACCAAAATCAGTTAAATGTCTTGTTGACAAAGGGATTATTTTAGCTGGAAAAAAGATTAATGTAAGTCATAGAAAATAAATGGTTACTGTTCTCATATAATATTTAATCACTTTAGAAAATTGTTAAGATCTTAGAGAAAATTTATACCAAGTTGTTATTCATCGAAGACTGACATCAGTTGGAGGAACAAAGGAAACCTGGGAGCACTGGACAGCTGTTTCTCCCTAGTATAGGACTCCTCAGCAGTGCGAACCCACGACCCCACCAGCAGGGACCGAACCCGCGACCTTCAGGTTCCGTGACCAGCGCGTTACCATTGAGCCACTGGGTCAGAATCCAATCCTCCATATTTCCAACTTCTGTTAGCTCACGATATAGCGCAAACCGCCACCCAATGTCATCGTTGAGTATTTGTCCTCACGGCCATCAGGCTTTGACTCCACCGGTCACGACTTGTCATTGGAACTTCGGGAATACTTCTCGAAGCTAGTCACCAATGAGCATCAGTTCAATTAAATTTTTGAGGGGGTTGTGGAGATTTGGAAATATTTCAAGTTGTTATTCATCGAAGACTGACATCAGTTGGAGGAACAAAGGTCGCGGGTTCGATCCCTGGTGGGGCGGGGTCGTGGGTGCGCACTGCTGAGGAGTCCCATACTAGGACGAAACAGCTGTCCAGTGCTCCCAGGTTTCCTTTGTTCCTCCAACTGATGTCAGTCTTCGATGAATAACAACTTGAAATATTTCCAAATCTCCACAACCCCCTCGAAAATTTATACCTAAAAATGATGATGCTACTAACTGTCTAATCTTGTTTAAGCATTAAGATTTATTTTCGGACGCTTTTCTACTAAGCTAGACAATTTCATCTCTATTTACTTCATGAAGTAACTGCTGGCAAAGTCTCCTAGTCTAACAATGAAACAATATGGAAAATTTGAAAAAATTCACCTTTCAGATAAGCCTATGTTTATAGTATCTTTGATAGAAACAATGGTGTATTTACTTAATGGGAATATCATGGATTCGTAGATGCTAAGTCTAATAATCAGCTATTGAAATAATCGACGGTTTCAATCATCTTGACTGCTATCATTTGATATTGTTGTAAATATTCTTGGACTGCTTGAAAAAAACCTTAAAAGCATCGCTAATGCATCATCATCATCTTTTATAACCAAACAATATTCTTTATTTGGCCAACTTTTCCTTATCATATTGGTCACAGTCATCAGTGAACCAAAGTATTTCAAGGAAGTGAACTGATTGGTTATGTCTAGATGTTTGTAATATCTTACTTTTCTGAGTAACTGTCCTCATGACCATCAGATTTTGCCCCCCACTGGTCAAATGCAGATGTTGAATGTTGAACAGATATGCTCAATTGGTGATTAATTTACTAGCCATATCACCAAGATTTCTCAACCATTGGTTCATTTCGTCCCGAGGATCCTAGTCAAACAGTCTATATCTTCGTACACGCCTTAGATCAACAGCTATCAACTTCATAGACTGGTAATATGTATTGGTCTGGAGACGCTGAATCCTCTTTTTATCTAATCGAAATTCGCATCGGATACCACGAAACGATAGCCATCTATAAGCGTCTTTTGTCTTTTGGCGCACTCTTCCTCACTTCTTTGTCCAGTTCAGTGTTTTATAGGTTGTGTTCAGTTACTCTTTTCGTTGTTCATCCTTGCACTGCACTGCACTGCACTGGTTTACCTTCTGCTTCACCATCCTCCTCTCCCTACTCTATCAACTCCCATGTAAATGTGGAGATCCATTCCATTCCTTATCTTCTTTCTTCTTCCTTACTAACACGGTCATGTAGGTTTCCTTACACATCTCTTTCAAAGACTTCCAGTGTTCTTCCACTCAGGTTTCCTGGTGGATGTTGCTCAATATCTCCCATTTTGTCTTGATAGCTAGCTGACTGAGGTGAAGATGTTGTTTGTAGTTACGTCCTTGAGTTTGTGTTGTGTGTTTTCAACTTGAACTGTGGTGTATCATGGTCAGCTTGTTTGAAGGATTTCAAGTTGATTTTGCATGTAGGCTGTGTCCACTTTCTCCACATTGAGAAGAAGTCGATGTGATTTTCAGTGTAGTATGTCCTGATGTCTGATGAAATCAACTCGATGTCGGTTTGTGAATATGCTTGTGGTTGAACACAGTGTCTGGAATCACGAAATGGTTGAATGTGCATAATTTTGTGAACAGTTTTGCATTGTGTTTGATCATTTCACCGAGTGCCTGTCGACCCATGATTGGTTGTCTATTTGTGTTGTGTGCTCCCAGTTTGTGATTCATGTCACCCCACCGATTAGAATATTGATGTTGCTATGTTGAGTAGGGTGTTGTCCATAACTGATTTCAGTTGTCTATAGAATTCCTCCTCCTTCTCTTGATCTGTATTATTTGAACCTTTTTGTGCACACTAACTATATGTAACTGCAGATGTCAAATGGTGAATATATATGCGCTATTTGTAACCAATTACCAGCCATATCACCAAGATTTATCAACCATCGGTTCCTTTCGTCGTGAATATCCTAGTCAAATAGTCTATATCTCCTTACACACCTCAGATCAACAGTTAACAACTTCATGGACTAGTGATATCCAATAGTACAGCTACAGAAGATGATATCACTGAAAAGAAATTTATTCGCTAAAAGTTTTCACTTTTTACTGATTACCATGAATTATACGTGTATTCTATAATCACATACTGTTTTCATTATTATTAATTTCATTTCACAAATAGATTGGATTTGAATTCATCTCTTATCAACTTGGTTTAATTGAATCATTTTGGCGTTTTCATGTAAAAAATTTCAATTATAATATACCATTATTAATTGTTGGTGAAACCAGAGAACCAAATATTATATTTGACCAATCATATATTAACTTTCATGCTGTACTAATCGGTCATACAATTAGTAAAACTGTCTTATTAATTAATGAAGAAGTTGTACAGTTATCATCATCTTTATCATCATCAATAACCAATACTATGATGAATGAAGAAGAAGAACAATCTGAAAATGAAGTTGAATTTGAGTTTTTAAAGTCAAGTCTATATGATGCTGGAAAACAAGATTCAATTATTGTTAAACCCATGTCTGGTCATCTTTTACCGGGTGAAAAGTTAGTCATTAATGTCTAATCTATTCTTATTTTCTTTTTAACAATATTCTTAAGGGATGTTATATGTTAATTGAAGAAATTTTGTTATTTTTGAGTAGCATTTGCAAGAAAATATCACACCATGACCTGTTGGGTAAACTTAACCGGGTGCGTGAACTAACACTCACCGATAGTATTGAAAGATGATCACATTATATTACGAACTGTTAGAATTAGAACATGGGAGCACTGGAGAGCTGTTTCGTCCTAGTATAGGACTCGTCAGCAGTGTGTGCCTAGGACTTTCAGGTTCCGTGACCATCATGTTACCATTGAATCACTGAGTCGGAATCCACTCGTCCCTATTTCCAACTTCTATCAGTTCATGACATAGCACGGCCATCACCTAATGTGATCACGTCCACCAGGTTTACCCCACAGGTAACGACTTCTCAATGGAACTTCAGGAATCACCTGTCGAAAATAGTCATCATGAACTGACAGAAGTTGGAAATATAGACCAATGAATTCTGACCTAGTAGCTCAATGGCAACGTGCTGGCCACTAGACCTGAAGGTTGCGGGTTCCATCCCTGACTCAGGGGGGGGTCATAAGTGCCCACTGCTGAGGACGAAACAGCTGTCCAGTGTTCCAAGGCCTCCAATGTTCCTCCGACTGATGTCATTCCGTGGTAAATACCTACATGAAGAATTATAATAATCTGGACCATTGGATTTTGACTCAATTTCTGAATGGTAACGTGTTCGTGGTGAAACCTGATAGTTTTTTTACGATCTTTAGCGGGGTCATGGGTGTCCAATGCTGGGAAGTCCCGTACTAAGATGAAGCCACTACTGAATGCTCGTAAACGTTCAGTGTTCCCTCAAATGACGTCTTCCCATCTTCGAAATAAGTTCGATTTGTATCTGTTAAATATCATAATGAAGGGTGAGGAGTTGTTGAAGACTTTCAGTGTTTGACTGTAATTTCCTTTGTAGTATCAATCACGTATTGTCAAACAATTATTTAACGATATTGGTCGTTTAGCTTCGAGTCGTAGGTACATGAGAGGACGTGGCTAGTGACGCTAAGAACCTTCACTTACTGAGACATGTGAGACATATTCATATCCTTTTACAATTGGCCGGATTACAGTCCATGAAATCATTAAGACGCACCGCTAGATCCTGGAATATGCCCTATGATCTATCACAATGCTTCAAATGTATGCACACGTTGGCTTCACATTTTTTCATCAGCTGAAGGCTTTCAACATTAACTGCTGATATTAGTTTTGCTTCTTCATTGTTATTTTTTATTTCAAATACCATTCTTAATACTTAATATTATTAGTTATCCCTTGGGTTCCTAGTGGAACATAAGGATTCAGTAGCACGCCTACATTGCAATCTCTTCTCTGCACTCTTTCCAACTTGTCAATGTCACCCTAGGACGCCCAACTTGTCGTTTCCCATTTGGATTCCACTCGACAGCCTGGTCCGATGCCTCATGTCCCCAATAGGCCTTCCCAGAGTATGCCCAATCCATCTCCATCTCCACTTCATTCTTCTGCATATTTATTGGGCGATAGGTTATTGGTTAGTTCGTTCACAGACTTCCTCCTTGCCTATTCTTATTATTCTAGCCATCTGATCTGATCTTCAGTTTTGAGTGAGCTAGCGTAGGTGGCAGCTGTTGATGAATGTCTGTAGTTTATTGGAAATGCATTTCGTGACACGTCAAGCTTATGAACCATTACAAAGCAGCACTGACTTGACTGAATTGGTGTTGGAAATCCGGATGTTATTCACGCTTTATGCTGAGTGGAGTGGAGTAGATCTCCACACTGGTTTCAGACTAATTAAACCAGGTCTATCTTGCTGTCTTTCCGATCCTGGATGCTTTGACATCCTCGTCTGTGACACCACCACCTGTAGTTGAAACCATGCTACCCTCCATAGGTAGGTAGGTGAAACAGACTACTTCCTTTGGGTTTCTCCCGTTCATAATCATCGGTGCCTCTTGTTGTTCATGCTGTTGTTGATAGGTTGTCTTCATCACCTCCGTCTTCTCTACATTCACTTGAATACTGTCGCGTTTTCGCTGCCTCACCTCTTCTCTCAACTTGTTAGTTTTCTCCTCTAGATTTTCGAGTTTGTGCGACATTCAACATAAATCATCGTTGGCCAAATCCAAATTTGTTAAGGTCTTTTCATCAATCCAGCCAGAGTATGCCCATCTTCTCACAGCTCCTCACTGTTAGTTGCATGATCCAGTCCAGTCGACCACAATCAGGAAAATTATGGGTGGTGTTAGGTGCCAACCTTGTCTTATTCCTGTCTTCACTTCAAAGGCATCATTGATCTTTCCATTGTGAATCACTTGTCATGGGGTGTCTTCATATAGATGTTGAGTGAGGTTGATAAACGTTTGTGACACTGAAACCGTGGTATTGAAGCAGGTGTCTACCAAAAAACTTCTCGGTCGACGCCTCGGTGGAAGGCTTTTTCAAAGTCGATGAAGTTGAGGTGGAGTTCAGTTGACTATCATTCTATGTTCTGTTGTATGGTGATACGTAGTGAAGCGTTGCAATTTGATCCACACATGATTTTATTGTCCTGAAGTCAGTCAGCCTGTTCTGGTCGTAATTTTGAATCCAGCGCATGCTTTGGTCTCTCCAGGATGATGCAGCATAATATTTTGCTTGCTTTAGGTGGACACAAGCATGATTCCTCACCAGTTCTTGCAAAGACTTGGGTTTCCCTTCTTTGTAAGTTTGACAAGGTAGCCCTTCTTTCAAGCAACGGGGAAGTACCTTTCCTTCTTTTCTTAGAAACCTTATGCGATAGTGGTGTGGGCATGTCCGCTGTTGTCTCTAAGTCTGTTTTCAGTGTTTGTAGAGGAATTCCATGCAGTCCTGCCGCTTTCCCGGATTTCAACAACTTTTTGGTGCTCAGGACATCCCTTCGTCTTTTCTCAGACAGCTTGTGTTTACTGGTAATTCTGTGCTTGCAAGTGTTATTTTTGGATGAGTTGCAGATGGTGGTGGTCGTGGTGGATTGAAGAGCTTTTTGAAGTGGTCGATCCATTGTTTCCTTTGATTCTCCTCCTCGATAACTAAGTTTACTTCACTATCTTTCATTAGTTTCGTCTGCGTTGATCTCTCAAGATAGTATTTTGGTGATTTGATATAATGTTGTCAGGTGTGTGCTACCTGCAGCGTGTTCTGCTTCACTTGTCAGTGTGCCGTAGAAGTGTCTTTTGTTCTTGCATGCACCCTTCCTCACTTCTTTGTCCAGTTCAGTGTTTTATAGGTTGTGTTCAGTTCCTCGTTTCGTTGTTCATCCATGCACTGCACTACACTGCACTGGTTTATCTTCTGCTTCACCATCCTCCTCTCCCTACTCCATCAACTCCCATGTAAATGTGGAGATCCATTCCATTCCTTATCTTCATTCTTCTTCCTTACTAACACGGTCATGTAGGTTTCCTTACACATCTCTTTCAAAGAGTTCCAGTGTTCTTCCACTCAGGTTTCCTAGTGGATGTTGCTCAATATCTCCCATTTTGTCTTGATAGCTAGCTGACTGATGTGAAGATGTTGTTTGTAGTTACGTCCTTGAGTTTGTGTTGTGTGTTTTCAACTTGAACTGTGGTGTATCATGGTCAGCTTGTTTGAAGGATTTCAAGTTGATTTTGCATGTAGGCTGTGTCCACTTTCTCCACATTGAGAAGAAGTCGATGTGATTTTCAGTGTATTGTGTCCTGATGTCTGGTGAAATCAACTCGATGTCGGTTTGTGAATATGCTTGTGGTTGAACACAGTGTCTGGAATCACGAAATGGTTGAATGTGCATAATTTTGTGAACAGTTTTGCATTGTGTTTGATCATTTCACCGAGTGCCTGTCGACCCATGATTGGTTGTCTACTTGTGTTGTGTGCTCGCAGTTTGTGATTCATGTCACCCCACCGATTAGAATTTTGATGTTGCTATGTTGATTAGGGTGTTGTCTATAACTGATTTCAGTTGTTTATAGAATTCCTCCTTCTTCTCTTGATCTGTATTATTTTCGAGTGCGTGGCGTGGCACTGTATGATTGTGACTTTCTTTCGTTTCGGGTTGTATCATGCTGTCATTATCCCGATCCTGGAGGAGGTTGGTTCTCACTACATGACAGTCTTCGATGCTGTTGTGACATTTTATGTGGATATGCTCACTTTTGGTTTCGTCGAGTGCAGATAAGACACATCGGTCAATTGGCTTCCCGAAGGCTTTTATCAACCGGCGTCATTTCGTCTCCCTGATTCCAGGAGGGAATTAATTGATTTTTGTCTTTGATATTTTGTTTATTCTTTGCTCTTTATCCGGGCTTAAGACTGGGTAGTAACTAGTGAATTAGTTTACTAGGCGAGATATTGAGATATTCATGATGTCAAGTGGATGTAACTGTACTTCAGTGAGTAATGTTGCTCTCAAATAGATCGGAATACGTGTCCTATATTCCATTGTTAGCCATCATGTACACTACAACAAGAAGGATTTTTCATTGTTGGTATAATGAATTTTAAAACTGATTATCTTATTTTAAACTTGATACTTTCTACCTAAAAAGTAAGTTTATACAAATAATTTTTCTTTATTTCACTTTATTTAGACTTCCTATTGAAATTACTTTTCAAGCAAATGGTGAACGTGAAGTCAACATCAATTTACAATGTAACATTAAGCATAAAAATCTACCGTTAACATTGAATATTAAAGCTCAAGGTTATGCTATTCATTCATCAGTTTGGCTAGATTATACTCTGACTCCTACTACTCTTCCTATGAATAAGAGTAACAATCAAACAAAGAGTACTACTGAAGTAATTGAACAGATTGAAATTAAACCACTCTGGTCTCCATGTATAGGTATTGATATAACAGAACTTATGAATAACTCTATAAATCGTATTAAAACTGATAAAAATTTAATGAATAAATTAATTGAATTAAATATTGGTCAATTAAATCCTGGTGAATATACTACAAGAAAATTGATAATATATAATAATGGTAAATTTAAAATTGATTTTCTATGTCAATTTATGTTAATTAGTAATGGATTAAACAAAAAAAATGAAATGATAATTGATCAATTGATTAATGGTTTCAATTTTGATAAAACTTATCATCCATCATCATTATATATTACTCCAAATTCAGGTAGTTTATTACCTAATGAAAAATTTATTTGTACTATAAAATTTCATCCTTTAAAACAATTAAATATATTAGGTATAAATCATATAAAATTAAATAATTTACTTGGTATTTGTTTAATTATACGTGATGGTCCTATTTATGGAATTAAATTATTTGGTTCAATTAACAACAACCTGTACAATTTTCAACAACTTGTATTAATTTTGGTTATCAATTAATTATGCAACCTGGTTTAAAACCTTCACTATATTATTTATATATTAGTAATTTAGATAGAAATAAAGAATTGAGTATTGAATGTATTTCACAACCATCAAAAATATTCACATATACATTGATAACAACAATATTAGCTAAAAAACAACATGATAATGATGTAATAAGACAACAATCAAATTCTTTATTATGTATACCAATTGAATTTTTTCCACAGGATAATATTTTATATAAGAGATGATAATATTTGAAATTAATGGTTGTAGTCAATATTCAATTGAATTAATCGGTAAAGGATGTCAATTATTACTTGAACCAAAAATTGATCCATTGCTATTAATGTATAAAAATAAAAGTGGAATTATGAAATTACTCAAATCAATGAAGACAATAATAATAATAATAAAAGGTGTATTAATATGGGTCATTTACGAATTGGTCAAATATCTCGTCGATTTATTACATTAATAAATAAAAGTTATGCACCAATATGCTTACATCAATACATTTTAATCAATCATATAATAATAATAATAATAATAATAATTTAATTCATATACAATTATGTAATGTTATATCAATAGAAAAACAATTAAATTATTATGGACCAATAACACAAATTACTACACATTAATTTTATCATCAAATGGTGGTCAAATAATGATTATGTTAGAATTTATATCAAATAAACAAATATATAATTTTAATGAAGAAATTTTATGCGAAATTTCACGTGTTAATCAAAATAATAATACAAATGAATTAATTAATGAAAAAATTAATAATAAAATAATTCAACCAATTAATAATATATCAAAGAATATAACAAATATGTTATTACCATATTTTATTTATATGGTTCTGTAAATACCTATAATATTGAATTTAATACTGATTCAATTACTTTTGGTTCAATTGTACAAGGAAGTCAATTGAATAAACGTTTAATATTGATTAATTCTGGTGATAATGGTGCAAAGTAAGTTATTCAATGTTTCAATTGGTTTATGAGAACTTATAAAAAATTAATTTTATTACTAACAATAAATATTGATTAATATTGTAGGTAATTACTTCAACACTACAGTTTCAGTGTCATAAACCTTGATCAACCTCACTCAACATCTATATGAAGACACCCCATGACGAGTGATTCACAATGGAAAGCTCAATGAAGCCTTTGAAGTAAAGACAGGAGTAAGACAAGGTTGGCACCTAACACCACCCATAATTTTCCTGATTGTGGTCGACTGGACTGGATCATGCAACAAACAGTGAGGAGCTGTGAGAAGATGGGCATACTCTGGCTGGATTGGTGAAAAGAACCTTGAAGGTTTCGATTTCGCAAACGTTGATGATTTATGTCGCACAAACTCGAAAATCTAGAGGAGAAAACTAACAAATTGAGAGAAGAGGTGAGGCAGCGAAAACGCGACACTATTCAAGTGAATGTATAGAAGACGGAGGTGATGAAGACAGCCTATCAACAACAGCATGAACAACAAGAGGCACTGATGACCATGAAGGGGAGAAACCTAAAGGAAGCAGTCTGTTTAAGGACAGGTTTTCATTAACCTGAAATGAGTGCACTAAGCACAATGAACGAGATCCGGATTTCCAACACCAATTCAGTCAAGTCAGTGCTTCTATATAGTCCAGAGATTTGGCGCGTTACGAAATACATTTCCAACAAACTACAGACATTTATCAACAGCTTACGTTTACGCTCGATACTTAAGATCAGATAGCTAGAAAGAATGAGGAACAAGGAACTCTGGCTGGCAACGAACCAAACAAGAACCTATCACCCAACAAATATGCCGAAGAAGAATGTGGAGATGGATTAGGCATACACTGACAAGGTCAACTAGGGACATCACGTGCCAAGCCAAGCCCTCGAGTGGAAGCCGAAGGGAAAACAACCAGTTGGGAATCCGAGATGAGGGTGACATGTAGGAGATCATGTGAGGAAGAAATGAAAGCTTATGGGGAGTGGTAAGTCGAGGTTACAAAGAGTGTAGAGAAGAGAGTGAAATGGCAACGTGCTACTAAATCCTTATGTTCCACTAGGAACCCAAAAAAACAAATAATAACAATATCATTGTAGTTTAGGACTCAATAGCTGAATATCTATGCGTTTCTGCTATTCTATTCACCAGGACTCGAACCCGGAATTCACCTCCTGAAATGCCATAATCAGTTACGAAATCTGTATACCGTAAACAGTGAAGTTCTCGAATAAATCACGTTAAACCAAGTCATTTTAAATGTTCGTGAAAATTTATTTGATGATAACAAAAATATTTTTCAGTTTGACTATCTAAGATACTCTTAGTTTGGGAGACTTTTCATATTCATATTCAGTATTACTTGAAGGTGAAATGAAAATCTCGGTCACAGCACACCTCAAATTAACAGTCTCCGAGTTACCAGCCGCGCACTTTACCAAACCAGTTATGATATTCAGTAGCTCATTTGATAAAGTATAGATCCGGTAACCTGATGGCTGATGCTTTATGTCCTACAGTGACCATCATCATCCAGTATCAATAAAAATGTTTCTGTGAATGAGTTCAAACTCCTCATCCTACTGTAAAGCATTAACATTCAGTGAGTAATATAGAATGAATAAGAACAATACGACAGGATGTTCGTCCATATGATGCTAAGAAAATATTTTGGCTAAAGAAGGCTTATTGCGAGTGTTTTGAATACTTATCTAACTGATAAAATCAGCGTAGAACCTCGTACACATGTACATCCGTTCACTTTGTCATACTTCACAGTAGTATACAAAGAACAGATGAGTAGGAAAAAACTGAGACAGAGAGAGTGTGTGTATAAATATTTAAGCTTTAGAAGACGTTGAAGAGTAAACACATCTGCGCCATTGAGACCGATTTCCTACCATGTCACCAAGAATGCTCAACCAGTCATTCTTTTTGTCTACCGGAATTCAACCAGAGAGTTTACATGACTCAGAACAACAGTTGAAGACTTCATCGACTGTCTTGGTGTGGCCACCTTGAATCTTCTTCCAAGCTAATTCAGCTTTTCCTAGCATGTTACATCGAGGCACGTGGTTCCTTGGTATGCATAGGACATACCCAAGCCTATCCTGTCTAGAACCCTCTACCTGACGTTTACATTGCTCACACGATGACTTCACTAAACGCATGCAAGGTTACGAAGGCATCTGTGACTAAAACCTTACAATCATTTCATGTCTTCTACTTTCACAGTTGCATAACAAGACAGAACGTACTGCATAACCGCGTTCATGTAGACTAGTTAGCATATCATTATCAGACTACGAAACATACCCATCGAATCATAGAGAAGAGATAATTCAGCGAAGAAACATTCTCTCTTTTCGATGATATCATTTTCTAAAGCTGTACAGTCGTATTTATATATATCTCATAAACATATAACAGTCCATTATAAAACAATAGAGTATAATTACATCATTAACCTAGTGCTAAAAAAACTGGAATCAAGAATGCAAAGTAGTTGCGTAATAATCTAAGACAGTAGAAATAACGAGGAAGGCAAGGAGTTTGACAAGATGAAAATTGAACTGTTAGTTGATTTACATACTCCCCCCGACAACCACTTTGGTTTACCTCGATGTGTGTTTACAAATTTACTTGCTCCTGTGGAGCTAGTTATATAGGCCGCACAAAGCGCACGCTTTCCAAACGTATCTCGGAGCACAATCCTGCATGGTTGTCGAGGCCAGAATGTAAAGGTTAAAATTTTTGGTAGATAAGAAACGCAAATATTTAGTGTCCACTTGATAGATAGATGGATGTAAAGAAAGCGATGAATGAGACAAGGGTCATAACCAAGGTGATAATAATAAGCTAATTAGTTATAATGAAGTCGAAAAAATGAAAGTGTTAAGACCATGGTAAGATGAGAGATTAAACATACTTCTTTTGAACGCAGGGACCAGGCTAGAATTGATGAATTGCCAGTGCCTCCGCTACGCACAATTGTCGAAAGCGTACTCCTTTTGAACTATTCTATCTGATACGATAAATAACATTGAAGGGAGATTCTGGTCTAGCTTTATGTCTAGAGTTGACCAAATGTTCAAGAATTGAACCGTTAATTGATTTACATTCTCCCCTCGACAACCATGCAGGGATAGTGCTCCGAGATACGTTTGGAGAACGTGTGCTTTGTGTGAATGAATTAGTCTTAAATAGGATGAACAATCTGAAATTGATTTACAAATTGCTTGGTCCATGTTGACGCTTCTCAGAGCTGTGTAGTTTTACAATTGCCTCCCTGTAGTGTCAACAAAGTTTCTGTTAGAAACCATTCACCCAAGATCAAAAGGTATAATCTCTGACAGAAAAGTATCATGAACAAACAAAATGTACTATTGAATAACATGAGTAGTTCTAATTCACTCAGGCTGATGTGTAAAATCGGCTAACCAGATCATAGTGATTAAAACACCAGACAGCTGTTTCACTCGTTTACTATTAAACTTATCAACAGTTTATCTAGACAGTTTCACCCAACGGGGACAAATTGTTCAGAACAATTAGACCAGGCTAGCTGACTTAAATCGATCGGTATATCTTAAGTGGAATGATCAATTTGCAAATGATGTTATGGTACTTTTAATTTCTCGTTGCTATACAGGGCTGAAATGCTCAGTCTCCAGCAATATCGAGGCATCCGCATAAGAGCTAATCTGCCAACGGAAGTCGAGCGATTTGCCGCCTGTATAGTAACGGGAAATTACAAGTACCATAACAGCAATTGATACCCATTTCACAAGAGGTGGCTATCTTTTCCCAGTGATAGTGGATAACACTTTGTTGTTCGAAGCTATCGGTGGGGGCAACATCGCTCACTGAAGTACAGATCCATCCAGATGACAAGTCCCAAGTAGGACGAGACGCATATCCTGGATTCCTCCGCTAGATTTACTATCCACTGGGCGTTAAGGTAAGATCTTAGGCATAGTTCGCTAGTTTAATATATGCTTCTAGGAAATAAGAATTGAAGATAAAATGAAATGCAGTGGATGCCTTAACTAGTTGATTGTAATTTCAAAACTGGATGGTACATTGTTCTCTTGTTGCTTGTTGTTCTGTTTATTTGTTTAACTCTTTTGGCCGTACATTGTCTTAGCTTTTCAGCTATACTTTACGATTGATTTTCTCTCACTATCTCTCCCTGGTTTGGTGATTTTCTGTCTGATGTTCTCCGCTGAGCTGATCACTGATAATATATGGATAAGAACACAATTTTCGGAATCAATAAAAATTTCCGCTACCTTCTTTTGGTTAGATTAAAATGATTGTCAGGAAATAACCATTCAGACTTACTCAAGAATATGTACTACGATTTTCAACACTTATGTCGAGTCAGTGCTTCTGTATGGTTCACAGACTTGGTGCGTTACGAAATAAATTTCCAACAAACTACAGACATTCGTCAATAACTGCCTACGCAGGCTCGTTACTGAAGATCAGATGGATTGCCAGAAAGAATAAGCAAAGAGGAACTCTGGCTGGCAACGAACCAAACAAGAACCTATCACCCAACAAATATGCAGAAGAAAGTGGAGATGGAGATGGACTAGGCATGCACAGAGAAGACTATTCGGGAATATCATGCACGAGGAAATCGAGCGGAACCCAGATGGGAAACTGCGAGTCGGGCGTCCGGGATGAAATTGATATGGAGGAGATCATGTGAGGAAGAAATGAGAGCTTGTGGGAAGTCGTGGAGCCAGGTTCAAAAGGTTACAGAGAACAGAGTGGAATGTAGACGTGCTACTGAAGATCCATGTTCCATTAGGAACCCAAGGCATAAACAACAATAATAATAATACGATGTGAATTTGTGACGCCTTACTATCAGTTGATCGTATTCACATTGGCTATTTTGTCAGTCAGGACTTCGCATCACAATCACTATCTGGGAGAATTAGAGATAGAGGGAACATCGTGTCGATTATGATTTCGACTGTGTGAGATGGGCGTGGTTCGGGAGACTAGTATGTATACTTGTATGTATATTTGAGGTTGGTGACTTGATGATATTTGAGACTAGTGATAGTATGTAACAGTTTGATTGATTGATTGATAGAGGTGATTTAAATATGTGTTGTTGGTGTTTAGCTAGGATGCAGGTGAATGTGGTTTGTGTTTTCAGTGTATTGATTTATTTCAAGATGGTATCAGTTGTAGAAGTAGTGAGAACGTGGCGAGAGTGGTTGTGTGTATGTGTGTGTGTGTGTGTGTGTGTGTGTGTGTGTGTGGTTGGAGTATAGGACTCGTTCTTTAGCAGTATACCCCTACAAGCTCATGATAAATGGAACTGAGGACCTTAATATTTGTTAACAAAAATGTTAGCCAGTCAGGTTATTATTATTATTATTATTATTATTATTATTATTATTATTATTATTATTATTATTATTATTATTATTATTAGTCCCTTGGGTTAGTAATGGAACATAGGGCTTCAGTAGCACGTCTCTATTCCACTCCCTTCTCTGCAATCTTTTCAACCTGTCACCACGACTGCCCACAAGCTCTTATTTCCTCCTCACACACACCATCTCCTCCATATCACCCTCACCTCGGACACCCAACTCGTCGCTTCCCGTGAGGATTCCACTCGAGTACTGGCCTGACACATGATGTCTCCAGTCGGCCTTCTCAGTGCATACCCAATCCATATCCATCTCCACTTCCTTCCAGTGCATATTTGTTGAGTGATGGGTTCTTGGTTGGTTCGTCCCCACAGTGAGTTCCTTGTTTCTTATTCCTCCTGGCAATCCATCTGATCTGATCTGATCTGATCTGATCTTCAGTAACGAGCCAGCGTAGGCAGTTGTTGATGAATGTGTGTAGTTTGTTGGAAATCCCTTTCGTAACGCCCTGCCAAGTCTCTCAAACATCACACAGAAGCACTGACTTGACAGAGATTTGTGTTGAAAATCTGGATGTTGTTCCACATGCTGAGTGCAGAAAATCTTTACACTGGTTTCAGGTTAATGAACGCCTGTCTAGCTGTCTTTCCGATTGTGACTTTGACATGCTCGTCTGTGTCTGTGCCACCTGTAGTTGAAACAGTGCCTCCTAGATAGGTGAAGGAGGTTACTTCCTTTACGTTTCTCCTGTTGATGGTGATTGGAGTTTGTTGGTGTTGTTTGTTGGGTATCTTCACCACCTCTGTCTTGTCTACATTCACTTGAATAGTGTTGCGTTTTGGCTGCCCTGTCTCTTCTGTCAACTTGTTAGTTTTCGCCTGTAGATCTTCAAGTTATGGGTAGTGTTGCTAGCCCTATGCCCCACCTTCCCTCTTTACCCTGGCTTAGGAAGGGCTAGTAACTAGTGAACTAGTTAACCAGGCGTGGTTAGCCAGTCAGGTAGTGGATTGTATTGTAATGGTCCACAGTCAAGTCAGTTAGCGTTTGATCCACCTGTGAATTAGTTGAGTGTAGAAGTTATAGTTTCTCCTTATGACTTTCGGATATCTATGTAGAAGCATTTCACTACTGATTAGTAGACAGTAGTTTACTTTGAGATTTACTTATCCACTTCAATTTTTTTTAAACTCATTAATTCTGTAAAACATTTTTGCTTACTTCCCTTTTTTCTATTTAAGATTTGAATGGGATCAATCAACGTTTACTTCAGATTTGATTATTGAACCATTGAATGGATTTATTGGTTCAAGATTAGAGGTACCATTCACTTTAACCTTGAAACCGAGTAAATTAACACGTGAAATAAGAATGGAGGTAGGTGAATACAAACGAATTTTAAAATATTCTTATCTATTTTCAACAAATATTCAGATAAAACTTGTTATTTACTCAGTGGAAACCTATAATCAGAATAAACTGTTTGTAATGAATTAATGATAATAATAATAATCATGTCTTGGTGTAAATAGTTCGTTATCGAAAGTTACTACTTCTGTAATACTCAAATGTTGTGGCAAATATTTATTGTTCAGGGTTTTAGGTGACAAGGAAGTGCTTGTGAAACTTTGATTCACTGATTAAAAATGTCTATCTAGTAAGACAATGAAACGTTTGCCGACTATATCTTTAGCTCAGAGTACAACTCATTCATAACAATTTTTAGATTTACTGGGCTATTCGATACATATAGTAATGATGGATGGAAGTTAACAGTGGAATCCAGGATGCGCATTTCTTCTTATTCGAGACTCGTCAATTGGATGTATCTGCCTCCTAGTGAGTGATATTGTTCCCACCAGGAATCGAACCGATGACTTTAAACACTAAAGTGTCATCCACTCGATCAATGAGCCACTTTTTAGTATGGCTTACAAGTAGTGTATCATTAAAAAAAAAAGAACTTTGGTGTTGTTGAAGATATGGATTTCACTCGACAACATTTTCAAAGTTCATGCTACACATTTTCACCGAAAGCACCATCACCTTCTTTACCTACTCATCATATACACAATAAAACTATAATATTCAAGTGATCTTTTTAATTTTTAAGTAAGCTTTTCACTAAACTTCCTTAATTTTATACAGGTTATAAATTGCACAGGATTCTGACCCAGTGGCTCAATGGTAACGTGAAGGCCAAGGAATCTGAAGGTTGCAGGTTCGATCCCTTGCAGGGCCGTGGATGTGCACTGCTGAGTAGTCCCATACTAGGACGAAACATCTGTCCAGTGCTCCCAGGTCTCCTTTGTTCCTCTAACTGATGTCAGTCAATCTACGATGATTAACAATTTGAAATAGTTAAAAGTCAATGTCTGAAGTATTGGGAACTATGACTTTTGGTCTAGACACTCAACTTTCAACCAATGAGTAGTAGTGAGTTTAAACACTCCTACACCTACTGAAGTTTCGGTAATTACTTGTGCTCAGTATCCTTCACGTAATAATAACCATTATGACCAAGTGGTGGTTGCGCTTGTGGGTATAATGAGAACTGAGACTCAATAGACACCTCAACCGAATACCTTCACGACTGACCTCCCTCAATATCTTCTGCTTCACTGAGCCGCGTAAAACCATAAGACTAAACATAGCCTGTGACTGCAAGAACAACGACAACCTTCACTAGGCAAATACATGACATATATGTATTTACAAAACCCTCAGAAAGTGAAACCACAAATGAACCGATCCGATTTCTTGTATGAGGTCAAACTTCTCCAATCAGGTTCTCATATCAGCGCATGTATAAATCACGACCTGAACATGATCTGATCATGACTTCAAAACAACTCTCCTATTGGCTGCCTTCTTGTCGCTATGTCTTAATAAGCAAAGTATTTCAATCAGACTCATTATATACATGGTTAATTTACCTAATTAGAAATGTGATCAAAAAAAGTAGGAACTAACTCATTGACAGTCAGATGTTTCAAGTTGTTATTCATCGTAGACTGACATCAGTTGGAGGAACAAAGGAAACCTGGGAGCACTGGACAGCTGTTTCGTCCTAGTATGGGTCTCCTCAGCGGTGCGCACCCACGACCCTGCCGTCGCCAGCACCATACCATTGAGCCACTGGATCAGAATCCAATGCTCCATATTTCCAAGTTCTGTTAGCTCACGATATGATGCGACGGCCACTCAATGTCATCGTTGAGTAACTGTCCTCACGACCATCAGGCTTTGCCGCAACCAGTCACGACTTCTCATTGAAATATTTCTAAATCCCCACAACTCCCTCAAAATTCAATTAGATGTTTGTCAGCTGTAATTATCACTTCTGTGATCAGAGCTGATGGCTTGTATGTATTGAAAATGTATGAAAAGAATTTTTATTCTCACTGAGCCTGGTTTGAAGAGTCCGTATGTGATTAGATTGTTCAAAATGTATAGCGTTAATATATCACTTGCTTTAGATCATTTTCGTCTTCTCATTATGCTGTTTAAAATTTGAGGTTTATGGGGATTTATTGACTTTAAGTGGGTATTCATCATGGATTGATATCAATTGGAGAAACATTGGAAACCTTGGAGCAGTGGACAGTTATTTCTTCCTAGTGTGGGACTTCTCAGCAATGCACACCCATGACCTCGCCATGCCAGGGACTCAACCCAATCCCTTTACGTTTCCGTGACCAGCAGGTTACCACTGAACTCCAGTGGCGCATATTTCCTAATTCTCTCAGTTCATGATATAGCGTGGCCTATATCCAATTCCGTCATTGAGTAACTGTTCTCATGTTCGACTTGGCTCCTTCCACAGGTCATGACTTGTCATTAGAACTTCAAGAATCCCCTCTCGAAGCTAATCACCAGTGAGCAAATAGATCAATTCAATTTTAAGGTTTTTGGGGATTTATTTATTTCAGGTTCTTATTCATAAGGAACTGACATCAAAGGGACCAGTTGTTTTAAATTTTCATAAGAAGACTCCCTCAGCTAATCATACATTTCCTAGAAAAATTTACAAAACTTCATGTTCCAGAAAATTATAACCAATTTTCTCAAACCTTATTCAACTTTCTTAATCTCATTTGGAAAACTGTAATGAAAAGCTTATCAAATTAATCGAACATCATTTGTATGCATCATCCGTATTGAAAGCGCTTTATTGTAATCGCTTCCACGAAACATATTTTATTATTACTTATATATCCCTTGGGTTCCTAATGCAACATAGATCTTCATTAGCACGTCTCTATTCCACTCCCTTCTCTGCAATCTTTTCAACCTGTCACCACGACTGCCCACAAGCTCTTATTTCCTCCTCACACACACCATCTCCTCCATATCACCCTCACCTCGGACGCCCTACTCGCCGTTCCCCCTCTGGGCTCCACTCGAGTACTGGCCTGACACGTGATGTCTCCAGTCTGCCTTCTCAGTGTATGCCCAATCCATCTCCACTTCCTTCCAGTGCATATTTGTTGAGTGATGGGTTCTTGGTTGGTTCGTCCCCACAGTGAGTTCCTTGTTTCTTATTCCTCCTGGCAATCCATCTGATCTGATCTGATCTGATCTGATCTGATCTTCAGTAACGAGCCAGCGTAGGCAGTTGTTGATGAATGTGTGTAGTTTGTTGGAAATCCCTTCGTAACGCCCCGCCAAGTCTCTCAAACATCACACAGAAACACTGACTTGACAGAGATTTGTGTTGAAAATCTGGATGTTGTTCCACATGCTGAGTGCAGAAAATCTTTACACTGGTTTCAGGTTAATGAACGCCTGTCTAGCTGTCTTTCCGATTGTGACTTTGACATGCTCGTCTGTGTCTGTGCCACCTGTAGTTGAAACAGTGCCTCCTAGATAGGTGAAGGAGGTTACTTCCTTTACGTTTCTCCTGTTGATGGTGATTGGAGTTTGTTGTTGCTGTTGGTGGTGGTGGTGTTGTTTGTTGGGTATCTTCACCACCTCTGTCTTGTCTACATTCACTTGAATAGTGTCGCGTTTTGGCTGCCCTGTCTCTTATGTCAACTTGTTAGTTTTCGCCTGTAGATCTTCAAGTTTATTCCGCGAAACATAGTAATCCAGATATTTTCTCTACTTTTGTCATTTAAACGCTCTCTAGATTTCAACTTAATGTTTTCTGTCTGCGATTTGTCTAATACTTGCACTGGTTTAAATTTTAATTCATTTCAAGTACAGATTCTTAGGGATATGCTAAGTGAACCAAATGAATGTACTCCTGTCACTTCTTCAATTTATCTGCTATTGAAAGTGCATAGGAATTCATAAATACAGTTGAAGGTAACATGAGCAGGTTATTTGTTCAATTTTGACTGGTTTTCCGAGCATATACTGTTCTATATGAATACAAATTTAGCTCCAGGAAATCTTCCTCTCAGTTCTCGGAGAAGCTTCTCAATAAAATTTATTTCTTCCTTGAACTAGTTCATAGAACGTAATTGCCTAGCTCCGTTGTAAAGTGTTTTAAGTAGCCAACGTTAATAGCTGGCGGAACAGAAAGCACTACGGTTAACGTATCGCTCTGTCCATGTATGTGTTTCGCGGAAGTGACTACAATAAATCGCTTTCAACTTGACCTTTGCATACAGAAGGAGAGTGTGGTCAGTCTTTCACTCCCTTGATGAATATAGTTTCATTCTGTGTCATTTTTGTTTTAATAAGATAACTATTCATTTATTTATTGTTGTTAATTCTCCTTTTCTACTTTTCTTACCATTTTTACAATTACTTCTTTAACACGTCACCAATAATTTACTAATTTTGCAATATCTTACGCGTTAATAACCACTGCAATTTTAGACTATATGCGGCTGAAGAGTATTCGTGAGAAAAAACCGATATCACTTCAGTATTCTGGATATTTCATCCTACCTACTTTATCTAAATTTCATCTTACCTTACAGATTGCTTGGCCTTTCTTTGTTCAGTGATAATAACAGAATAATTAGGATGGCTGACTAACTGATTGAGCCAAAAGGCTCAAAATAGTCAAAATAGGCAGATAACTTTGTATATTAGTGAGCTGGAAGTCGGATAGTAAACTACGCTAATATTCATTTCGAAACAGTGTTCATTATGAACTGACATTATTGAAGGAACAGTGAAAATTTTAGCAGCTATATCATTCTCCTTTTGAACCTTCAATTAATGTGCACGCATAAATACTTCTTATGGTGTAGAGTTCAGCACCAACACGTCTGATGTAAGCTTTCATCCAGTGGTTTATTATATGGTACGATCATCAATAGATGTGATCGGTGGATATTTGTTATCACCTACAACTTGATTATCTTCTTAGGTCATCAGACGTTTTGGAAATTCATCTCAATGGAATTCACGAATATGCATAGGATGGGATTCGGGCTAGTGATGTTTAGATATTTAAGTTATTTTCAAATAGATGAAACCTTTTTTAAACAAAAACACTTAAACAATTTATGTTACCATGCAGATATTGTTTTATACTTTATTAATTTATCTGTTTCTTTGTTTTATTAATACACTGAAACAGAATGTAACATGCCGAATTCAAGGAACAGGAAAAAAGACAATAACAATTACAGGAGCATGTGTACCACCGACAATTATTAAAGAAATTCAACAATTTTCAACTACAGTAAGACAAACTGATAGTAAAAATTTACAAATTATAAATCGTACAAATACTGACTGGCAAATTAAACCAATTATCGATGGTGAACAATGGTCTGGATCAAAGATAATTGAAATACCAGCACAACAAACAGGAGTTTATGAACTAAAGTATAAACCTGTAACTATGACTACAGATGGAGTTAAACATAAGGTAAAATATTTTTTTCTATAGCTACCGATTTGATTATCTAATATTTATACTGGGTAATGATTGAAGGTGAAGTGAAAATTGGACCGCAGCCGAATTCGAACCAGCAACAACCAGGTATCCGGCCCTATGGATGCTATACCAATTAAGCTATGAGATCCCACTGCTAACCAGATTTTTATTTCACTTCAATCACTATCTAGGATTTTGCCTGATTACCATGTGAATTTGTAACGCCTTACTATCAGTTGATCGTATTCACATTGGCTATTTTGTCAGTCAGGACTTTGCATCACAATCACTATCTGGGAGAATTAGAGATAGAGGGAACATCGTGTCGATTATGATTTCGACTGTGTGAGATGGGCGTGGTTCGGGAGACTAGTATGTATACTTGTATGTATATTTGAGGTTGGTGACTTGATGATATTTGAGACTAGTGATAGTATGTAACAGTTTGATTGATTGATTGATAGAGGTGATTTAAATATGTGTTGTTGGTGTTAGCTAGGATGCAGGTGAATGTGTAATATCGGTGAAAGTAGTATAGGATTGTGAGGAGACTGAGGGTTGGGAGATGAAGAGTTTGCATGGGTTTATGTAAAATGTGACTGTTGGTCTGAGGAGTGTAGGGGAGTGTAGATAGACTCTTTGAGTGTGAATTTTGAGATGTCAGGAATCAGGTGGTGATAACTTTCGACCATCTTCACTAACCTTCATTGGTTTCTTCTGTCGCCTTCAGTGGACTTCTATCAATGTTGATGTCTTTCTTTTCCTACCTACATCTTCTTTGAGTGGTTCTTCGAATTATGGTAACTTGAAGTGAGATAGCATTTGGTTACAGACAGCATTGGTCATCATGTCTATCTTATTGTCTAGAATCTTTAAAATACTATTGTGAGAAAATGGTGTTTAATATATGGTTTGTGTGTTCAGTGTATTGTTTTATTTCAAGATGGTATCAGTTGTAGAAGTAGTGAGAACGTGGAGAGAGTGGTTGTGTGTGTGTGTGTGTGTGTGTGTGTGTGTGTGTGTGTGTGTGTGTGTGTGTGTGTGTGTGGTTGGAGTATAGGACTCGTTCTTTAGCAGTATACCCCTACAAGCTCATGATAAATGGAACTGAGGACCTTGATATTTGTTAGCGAGTCAGGTAGTGTATTGTAATGTAATGGTCCACAGTCAAGTCAGTTAGCGTTTAATCTACTTGTGAATTAGTTGAGTGTAGAAGTTATAGTTTCTCTTTATGACTTTCGGATATCTATGTAGAAGCATTTCACTACTGATTAGTAGACAGGAGTTTACCTTAAGGTTTTTTCCGAGACTAGTATTTATGCTGTATACTATATTGTATGACTAGAGATTATGGCGAATGCTTCTTAGGAAAAAATGATTCATAACAGTGGTTGTGATGGGAAAATTGAGTAAGTAGTTCAGAGTTTAAATACAGATATTTCAGTCAATTTTATCGTCAATGTGAAGTGAATGAGACGTATGTTACACTTAAAATAATAATAATAATAATAATAATAATAATAATGAAACTTGCTTGTTACTTCGTCCTAAACCAAGAGGTCTTCATCAGTCTTCCGTACAAAGATGACTCTCATACAACAATCTTAAGCAGAGACTTACTATGCACATAACGTCTGACTACTAGAAATCACCAAACCTGTATATTCTTACACCATGCGAACGACAATGTCACATCCAACTACATCTATCAATTCAAATGTACTCATATGGTGACACATTCGTAACGAGGACTCACAGATCCTTGCAAGCGAGGGCCTTCGAGAATATTTTGAAGTGGCCTCCGAAGCAATTTGAATCACCTGAACCCATAAACGTCGATTGTCTCAGGATTGATGTAGCTACTTCCTGTAGACCTATTTACAAAAAGTGTCAGGGATGAATCCTTAAATTTGTTGACGCCTTACCTATTATTAGAAAGCTTTGTATGTTCAAAAACAATTTGTTATCGAATTAAATCTCCCCACTTGATGAATTCAGTTCTGAAATCAAGTTTGATGTACTATTATTGTCACCCTATTGATTTTTATTGTCATTTGGCCTTTAATTTCAGCCTTCTAACTTGACCTCTTTTCATTTTATCCCCCGTTATCCCTTTATAAATTTTCATATAAATACTTAGGGTGAGTACGTGTATGATAGGATAGTTTGAAATGTATTGCGCAAGTACATAACTACACGGTTCAAACAATTTACGTCTTCTTATTGTTTTGTCGAAAACAAATAGTGGCGAATATGATAAAGGAAGTTGTCTTGTCTTATCTCTAAGCCTTGTCAACAATCGACCGCTTGACATAATGATTCATTTTCTCTTCTTTCTGCGTTAGTTACTATTACACAAATTATTAATTATATGAGGAAGGTTTAACTTAAAGAGTGGAGATGACTAGCAAAAGAATCCAGGATGCGCCTGCACCCCAGTGCGGAATGATGTTGTTCCCACTGAGACTCGAATCTCGTACGCATCTCTTCAAACACTATGACATTATCCACCATGCCACGGAACAACGATAGCCACTTCTTGTAAAACGGGTATTAGTTATTACTATTTACTGACATATTTGTAAGTATCTGTTGTTTTACTGGATTAAACTGTTTGATCTCTATTGGCATATGGGCTCCTATGCGGATGCCTCGATATTGCTTGATGGGTAAGGGATTTGAGTCTCAGTGGGAACAACACTCCGAACTGGGGTGCAGGTGCATCGAACTGATGAGTCCCAAATAGGATGAAACGTGCGTCCTGGATCCCTTTGTTAGCCTCAACCAACTAAATTACCATAGTTGACATTCAGACATTATCGAGGCATCCGCATTCTTGATTTTAGGTCATATTGACTTAACAGATCTGATTCCACTTTGAATATGCTTAAGAATATACAATAATATCAAATGTATATATTATTCATAATATCATATTTATTTATTTATTTGTCACTTAGGTCCCTAGTGGGACATAAGTGCTTCAGTAGCACGTCACCATTTCGTTCTCCTCTCTCCAGTCTTTCCAACCATCCTACACCACTCCCCACAAGCTTTCATTTCTTCCTCACACACCACTTCCTCCATATCACCCTCACACGCCCAACTCGTCGTTTCCCATTTGGGTTCCACTCGACGGCCTGGCCTGATGCGTGATTTTCCCCAATCGGCCTTCCCAGTGTGTGTCCAATCTAACCTAATCCATCCTCACTTTCTTCTGCATATTTGTTGAGCGATAGGTTCTTGGTTGGTTCGTTGCCAGAGTTCCTTATTGCTTAATAATATAATATACAGTAATATACAAATGAGACATAGCTTATTGAGAAACTGCTGAATTCAAGTGAAAGAATCTGTAATCAGAAAACAACAACAGCAAAACACTTTTATGGTTTTCAAGGTCACTATAAGCATTTCTTAGAACTGACGAACAATAAAGTGCACACTAGCATTGAAAAACAGATCAGGTTCTTCAGTTCTCTTTAATGTATGCATCAATAATGTTTATTATAGCATTATAAAGTCACAGGTGATGTATGATTAGGGTTATTCATCGTAGACTGACATCAGTTGGAGGAACAAAGGAAACCTTGGAGCACTGGATAGTTGTTTCATCCTATCATGGGACTCCTCAGTAGTGATTGTCCACGACCCCGCCCCAACAGGGATCGAACCTGTGAGCTTCGGGTTCCGCCGCCAGCACCTATAGGAATTTGTATATATGCTCTATTTATGAAATTATTAATTCTCATACATCCTAATTTACCAATTTCATCATTCGTTTATATCTTGTTTATCTTTAAGGGTACAATATTCTTTCCATTACCTGATGGTACAGGATTATTATACAATTTATCTGGAATCTCTGAACCACCGAAATCAATGATACGAATAAATCGTGAAATTGAATGTAAAAAACTACATACAGAGGTTGTAGAAATTCCGAATTGGTTAAATATACCGCAAAGATTTCATATCACTAAAGAGGTTCTACGTCCAGATAAATTAGATCCAAGTACAACTATTAAAGGATTAAACTATTTAGATGTTCCAGGGGATTCAAGTAAAGAATATAATTTGAGTATATTCACATATCGAGAAGGTTTTACACTAGTTAAGGTAAGTTTAAACTTCCTACTTTGTTCACATTCAATTGTTTTATGAAATATACATTACTGTTAAAACATATCCATTTCTTGATATATGATGTCTAACACTGAAGTCTGTGAGGAGCGAGATGGGCATACGCTAGCTGGATCGATGAAAAGAGCCTAGGAGGTTTCGATTTCGCAAACGATGATGATTTATGACACACAAACTTGAAAATCTAGAGGAGAAAACTAACAAGTTGAGAGAAGAGGCGAGGCAGCGAAAACGCGACACTATTCAAGTGAATGTAGAGAAGACGGAGGTGATGAACACAGCCTATCAACAACAACATCAGCAACAAGAGGCACGGATGACCATGAAGGGGAGAAACCTATAGGAAGTAGTCTCTTTCACCTATCTACCTACCTACCTATGGAGGGCAGCATGGTTTCAACTACAGGTGGTGGTGTCACAGACGAGGATGTCAAAGCAGCAAGGATTGGAAAAGCAGGATAGGTTTTCATTAATCTTGAATGTGTTTCGAGATCTACTCTACTCCACTCAGCATAAAGCGTGAATAAGATCCAGATTTCCAACACCAATTCAGTCAAGTCAGTGCTGCTTTGTAATGGTTCATAAGCTTGACGTGTCACGAAATGCATTTTCAACAAACTACAGACATTCATCAACAGCTGCCACCTACGCTAGCTCACTCGATTCTGAAGATCAGATCAGATGGCTAGAATAATAAGAATAGGCAAGGAGGAAGTCTGTGAACGAACTAACCAATAACCTATCGCCCAATAAATATGCAGAAGAATGAAATGGAGATGGAGATGGATTGGGCATACACTAGGAAGGCCTATTGGGGACATGAGGCGTCGGACCAGGCTGTCGAGTGGAATCCAAATGGGAAGCGACGAGTTTGGCTTCCGAGTTGATGGTGACACAGAGGAGATCATGTGAGGAAGAAGTGAAAGCTTGTAGGCAGTTATGGCGCCAGGTTTGAAAGAGTGCAAAGAAGAGAGTGAAATGGAGAGGTGCTACTGAAGCCATATGTTCCACTTGCAACTCAAAGGAAAAATAATAATAGCACTGAAGTTATTCAACTTTCGTCTTCACGAAGTCTTGATTACCTTTGAATGTTACATCATTGTGAATGACTAAATAACATACAATGGGTGTTAGCAGTTCAAAATAACTATGACTATATGATATACTTATGCATTAGTATTCAATAAAGAACAAACTTGAATTTTGAAATTATTAAAACTGTCTTGGTTGTATTGTGTTCTCTGAGCTGGATTGTTTAATCGTGAAGCTTTCATCATCTTTCTAGACGATATCATCAGCACTAACTTCAGTATAAAGAAACCTATCAATATCTATTTGTCAGTGATTCAGTAGCTTGCCTTGATCAACTGGTTTGTGATTGGTTGTCTCTTTTGATTGTTGTGTCATTGACCGACTACATAGATTTTCCTATTGTTTGGCTGTTCCTCTGCTTGACCTCTCACCTTTCCTGTCGTTTATCATTTCTCTCATTGGTTGATAGATTGGGTCTTTGTCTATACATTTATTGATGGCTGACTGACTGACTGACTGACCTGAATGCCAAGCCTCTAGGAATGCTCTGATGTTCTTTGTGTTTCCTCACCCCATCAAAATTGAATTCATGTGCATAGTTGTTATCCACGTGTATCGAAATGTGTGATGAAATGTCATGTGTGACGTTTAATAGCCAATTTGTGTTCATGTAGACGAAGATGAAGAGGGTGACCACTTTGTTCAATGTATTGTATGTTGACTATAATTATTGTAGTTGATTTTGTAAATGATATTCTATTTGTCTTCTTTGGTGCTGATTATGTCGTCTAGAAAGATGATGAAAGCTTGGTGATTAAACAACCCAACTCAAAGAACACAATACAACCAAGACCATCCACCTGAGCTACAAATATTCTCCATTATTAAAACTGTTTTTATCGTTTATAGATACTGGTGACCTCCTATAGCTATATTGAATTGGACTACTCGACTACTGTTAGCATACGGCTCCCATATGGTTACCTTGATGCTACCTGGATGTTCCCGATGTTATAGTGTACCTGGGGTCTAGCAGATGAATCCAGGACGTTGGACGTACATACATCTCAGTGAGCGATGGTATCCCCACCCAGTACCCATCGCTTCAAACGCCCAAACGTTATCCCATAGGCCCCTGAGTCACAACTGCCATCTCTTATGCGACAGGTTTTTTTTAAAAAAGGAATCAAAATTGTCTAAATAGGAATGAGGAAGTAAAAGGTAACCTGACCTTATTTCAACTCAGCGCCATATACTGACATCCAACCCATAGGCGATAAATAATCATGCGAATCCCAATCTATAATTCCTGCACTCATTACACATAATACACTACATATGGACATCATCTTTATTCAATAATTTGACAACACAGAATCATCCATCCATGAGAACTCATATCATGTTATTACATATAAGCTTGGATAGGGCATGTATTACGCATGTGTAGCCACCATCTTCTTTGTCGCACAATATTGACAGAAGTAAGTTCACGTCGGAAAATGGCTTGACGTGGCCACACTAAAACATGGCACCAATCAATGAAGTCCTTCACTGTTCGTCTGAGAACCATCTATGGCCATCCACACTGGCCAGTTGGCGTCCGCGGGACAAGAGAAACCAGTGGTTGAATACTCTAGGAGATGTGACTCAGAATCTATGTCAGTGGCACAGATGTATACACAAATTATCCTCATTTTGACCTCTGCAACTATTCTCATCATCTTCTTATTCCTCCTTTCCTTCTGCTACTACTTTCTACTTCTACCTCCTTTGACCGATTTTCCTCTCCTTCATCCCATATGAGGATGTCAAAACCAGGATCGGAAAAGCAACACAGGCGTTCATTAACCTGAAACCAGTGTAGAGATCTACTGTATTCAGTATGTGGAACAACATCCGGATTTTCAACACAAATCTCAGTCAAGTCAGTGCTTCAGTATGGCTCAGAGACTTGGACCGTTACGAAAGACGCTTCCGACAAATTACAGATATTCATCAACAACTGCCTACGCTGTTTCTTTACTGAAGCTCAGATGGCCAGAGAGAACAAGTAACAAGGAAATCTGGCTGGCTGGCAACGAACCAACCAAGAAGCTATCGCTCAACAAATATGCACTAGAAGGAAGTGGAGATGGATTGGGCATACACTAAGAAGGCCGACTGGGGACATCACGCAGCAGGCCAGTTGCTCGAGTGGAACCCAGATGGGAAGCGACGAGTTGGGTGTCCGAGGTGAGGGTGATATGGCGGAGATGGTGTGTGCGAGGAGGAAATGAGAGCTTGTGAGCAGTCGTGGTGACAGGTTGAAAAGATTGCAGAGAAGGGAGTGGAATGGAGACGTGCTACTGAAGATCTATGTTGCATTAGGAACTCAAGGGATAAATAAAAATAAAATAAATGAACGTGTATTATATAGCATACATTTGATAAAGCTATTAGTACTGAATGACAAAATGTCAGTTAAAACAAATTTATTCTATTTTAAATTCATCGGGAAATACAAATACCAAAATTATGAATACCATCTAGCTGATGTTCAAATTTTTATCAAATCATCAAGTCCCAAATTGGTAGAAACGTCACTTGAAAAGAGTAAACGTTTATTCCACAGTAGACAACTTCAAAACAGACCAGAAGTGTAATTGCAAATTCGGTTGGATACATAAAAGTAGTAAGAATTTGTCAGAAGGCTCAACTTCTGTAAGTGATAGTATTACTAGTGGTAGTCGTAGAAGCGGTGACACTGGAAGTAGCAACAGTGGTAGTTGTGGTATCCAGTCTGTCAGTCATTCAGTCAGTCAGTCAGTCAGTCAGTATATTTTATTTATTTCAAGCCTTAGAATTGAGCAATATAGCAATCTTTTAACCTGATTTGAATTCAGATGGAATAGATGATATGAATGATATCATCTAGAAGCCTACAAAACATAGATTTCTGTCACCTTATAAATCATATCAAGTAAGCTTATAGTTATGTAAGGGATTTCTTAGAAGTTAACCACTCACTTGGTTGTTTTAATGCGTTATTGGCCAGTTTGTATCTTTTCCTTTTCTCTATTGTACATACCATAGAACTTCAAGCTTAAACTTTGACTAAACATATGTCTGTACCACGTTTCAACCACCTCTAAACTCGGTGTCATAATTAAGGTTCATACAGATGACATCCTCCTAAACAGTAAGGAATTGAAATCTTATTATCTCTAAACGTATTCTTTCTTTGAAAGCGTTTTCATTCCATCTAGAACACTAGACTGATGTGCATATATCTGAAAAGAGATCACTTATTTAAGGTAGTCAACAAAGAGGTTTGTGTAGGTGAAGTGTGTGTGTGTGCGCTCCTGGTCTCTGACTCAGTGACTTGATGGTTAACTCATCCTCTTTTAGACCTAAAGGTCTTGAGTTTGATCCCTGATTGGTTCGTGTGTGCCTGCTGTTGAGAATCCTCATGCTGGGGCGAAACAAGTGTCTAGTACGCCCAAGTTTTCAACAGTTCTCAAACCATGAAATAAATAAAATCTTAATAAACCTTAAACTAAAATATAGACAGAATCTATTCAGTGATATTATAGTAGGCGTTGCTGATAACAATGGATATAAGTAGTATATATCTGGAGGTGGCAAAAATCATAGGGAATTAACGGTAATTGGTAAGGTTTCTGTCAAGAGCAACGCAAGGGATAATGCAGGTGTATTACAGTGGATGCTGCTGATAAGAATGTATGTACGTTGTGTTCATCTTCTGTTTCTTCAATACCATCGACTAAAATATGTGATGGATAAGACTTGCTTGATTAACTACTTTCTATGTAACTGATTAGTAATTGTAATTTCCTTTATTATCATTTAAAGTATGGATTTATTCTTTTATATATTAGTTACATTTACGAATGAAATAACTGGAGAATATCAATTCTTTGAAGTAAACTTTAAATCTATTCGAAGGAAAAGCTTAGATGTAATTAGAATGCAAACACTTGTTCGTAAACCAACCGTATACACACTTACCTTAGAAAATCCTTTAATGATACCAGTAAACTTTCAAATGAGTACAAATATCTCTGATGTTCAATGCCCAAATCAATTACAAATTCCTGCTAATTGTGAAGTAAGTTCAATAATTCACTCATTACCAATATTCCATTTCCAAGTAATGGTTTACTTCAATGTTCTGTTCAATGATCAATATGTCATTTAGAAAACTATCTAGTATTGAAACTCCATCATCAAACTATTCAACATTGTATGTTTTATAATGTGTAGTGAAAACATTGAATGATTATTCTTAAAAGTCTATGTCTGGAATACCTTATGAATAATATTTCTGCTAAGAATATTACTGCAGTTTCCGTCGATTTAACAATCGACGTTAGATTGTGAACTTTAACGTGTCTAAGACAATTATTTTGGATAAAGGATTACGGTTTCAGTCGACAGTGTTTCAACTGGTTATTCATCTCTTTGGTGTACACAACACCTTACCATCAGTATTTGGATGATGATGATGATGATGACAGACAATTTTTCATAGTCTACTCGTTTTGACTTCTTCTTTGAAATAGACGATTCATTTGGTCGACTCATTCCAGTGTACATCTGTTACTTATCATCAAGTTATATTCTTAGCTCAACAGATGTAATTTAGATATGTATTTTGTATTTTCAGAAGGTTTCAATTTCATGGACCTATCCTGACAGCAACACTTTCATTATCAATAACACACTGACGTATCACTCTAAGACAGGAGACTACTTACGCTACATCTACTCAGCATTACTCGTTCAGTGCTCTTTACCTTTCAGTAATTCTGTAACCATCTGACTAACTGTCAAACATAAGTAAATAATATGCTCACATTATTATTATTGATATTCGTAATTTATTGCTATTACAAGTTGCTATTCATCGTAGACTGACATCAGTTGGAGGAACAAAGGAAAACTGGGCAGCTGTTTAGTCCTAGTATGCGACTACTCAGCAGTGCGCACCCAGGACCTCGCCCCACCAGGGATCGAACCCGCAACCTTTAGGTTCCGTGGCCAACACCATACCATTGAGACACACTGGGTCAGAATCCAATCGTCCATATTTCCAAGTTCTGTTAGCTGATGATATAGTGCGACCGCCACCCAATATCATCGTTGAGTAACTGTCCTCACGACCATCAGGCTTTGACCCCATTGGTCACGAGTGCTGAAGTGTCCCATACTGAGACGAAACAGCTGTCCAGTGCTCCCAGGTTTCTTTTGTTACTCCAAATGATGTCAGTCTACGATGAATAACAACTTGAAATATTTCCAAATCCCCACAACTCCCTCAAAATTCTCGTTATTATTCTGAATTGAAATGATCAATCTCTATTTGCATATAGGCTCTTATGACGATGACTAGATGCTGTCGGATAAGTGATTATGTTGTAATTTGCTTATTGGAATGGAGGATGAGCATTTCATTCGATTTGGTTTAGTAAATACTTATTTGACGCTGAAGTGATATGGAGTGGGTGCTATTGTAAGTTGGAACACGATAAATCGTTGGGGTGCTACTGGATCTGGCTAACAAGTCCGAAATAGAACGAAACACGCCTCCTGGATTCCATTGCTAGCAAGCAAATTACAATATGTTTTTTCATTATTCTAGTATTTGTATTTCTCAATGAGTGTACACCAAAAACAGATGCATAGACAACAGCGGACATGCTTACTTTTACCACTATTTCAGAACGTTTGGAAGAAAGGAAGGAAGGAAAGGTACCTGCCCATTGATTGGAAGAACGGTTACTTTGTCGAACTCCCGAAGAAGGGAGACCTAAGTCTTTGAAAGAACTGGCGAGGAATCATGTTCCTGCCTCTGTTCACCCTTAGCAAAATATTAAGCCGCATCATCCTGGGGAGACTAAAACATGCTCTAGATTCAAAACTACGACCAGAACAGGCTGGATTTTGGAAGTACAAATCATGTGCGGATCAAATTGCAACGCTACACTACACATCATCATCGAACACAGCGTAGAATGTCAGTTAATTGGATCTCCACCTCAACTTCATTGACTTTGAGAAGTCTTTCTACAGCGTCGATCGAGAAGTAATTTGGCAGGTAGCTGCTTCAACCCTATGGTTTTAGTGCCGAAAACCGTCATCAACCTCATTCAACAGCAGATATATGCTATATTATGCTACTATATGCTAAGTGATTGACAGTGCAAAGCTCAATGACGCCTTTGAAGTTTGAATAAATGTAAGACAAGGTTGGCACCAACTATCACCGATGATCTTCCTGATTGTGGTTGACTGGCTGATGCAAGAAACTACGAGGAGCTGCAAGAAGATGAGCATATGCTGTTTGATCGATGAAAAGACCCCAGAAGAAGATTTGGATTTCCCCAATGATGATACGTTATGTCAAATGTCTCACAAACTTGAAGATGTACGGGCGAAAACTAACAAGTTGGCACAACAGGTGAGGAGAGGCGAGGCAGCGAAAAAAGAGGGGACTTCCTTCAGGTGAACGTAGAAAAAATAGAGGTGAAGAAGATACTCAACCAACAAGAATAGCAACAGGGAAAAATCTAAACGAAGTTGCCTCTTTCACCTACCTAGTCAAGGCAGCATCGTTTCAACTACAGGTGGTGGTACACATGAGGATCGGAAAGCCAGCAAGACGGGTGTTTGTGAATCTGAAACCACTGTGGCGATCTACTGCACTCAGCATAAAGCGTGAATAACATCCTGATTCTCAACCCTTATATCAGTTAAATCAGTGCTTCTATGTGATGATTGAGAGACTTGGCACGTTACGAAAAGTATTTCAAGCAAACTATAGACATTCATCAACAGCTGCCTACACTCATTCGATATGTGGATCATATGACCAGAAAGAATAAGCAAAGAGGAACCCAATCTGGCATGAAACGAACCAACCAATCAAAAACCTATCGCCTTCAAATATGGAGAAGAAAAAAGTGGAGATAGATTGGTCATACACTGAAAAGACCGATGGGGGAATATCACGTTACGGTTCCTCGAGTGGAAATCAAGTGGGAAACGACGAGTTGTTTGTGTGAGGGTGACATAGAGGAGATGGCATGTGACGAAGAAATCGAAGCTTCTGGGGAGTCGTGGAGCGAGGTTGAAATACTGAAGAGAAGAGAGTGAAATGGTGACATACAACTTAAGGCTTATGTTCCACTAGGTACGCAAATTACAAATAATAATAATGATAATGGATGTGTAACAAAAGAAATTTGTTTCAACTTAGGTCTTGCTTTTTGGTGCTGCTAATGGCTTCATCAAAGATAACTTGACAAGTATTCCTCTGAGTGGATGATTTTATGTGGTCGGAATTGTAGAATAAAGAGGATATCCATATGTAATATTGTGTGTGCGTGTGTGTGATATGCAAATTGAGACTTGTATGTACACATATGTTGATAGTTCTTATCGTTTGTGTCTGTCGGTTATGTCATTATGTAGGATGGATTGAGACCTGTTATATTTTACTCTCTTATTCCTATTTAAACATCTGGTTGTGAAGAGCTTTTGCTACTGAAGACGTTCCTTATAATTTCTAAAACCTTTCTGAATAATTTCGATATTGTCCAAATTGATCTTGTGACGTGAAATCATAGTATGTAGAAATATGGCGGATATTTTTTTCACTTCTACTGGATTTCTAAGGGGGTCAGGTGGAATCACTATGATGTTCCCTTTTTTCGTAATTTTGATTTCATGAGAAGTTTGTCCTATGTATATATTGCATTGTGAATATTGTGAAGCTGTAGGGATCTCGTCATTCAAATGAACTAAGGTACTTCAGAATGTGTTTGATGTTCTGTAGAACAATCTGATATTGAACAATCTCCTAATTTCATCTGATATGTGTGGTTCATAAGCGATAACTATTGTTGAGGCCCAAGATTTAGGAGTAGTTTTATAATATAATTTAATATGATTTTCTATTTTAAGTATCTTTTTCATATATTTTAAATCCTTAACTCTTTCATGTTCATCGGTTATTAGAGTTTGAGCACTCCTTGAAAGACTGAAGGCGATGGAAACTTTCATAGTAATTGGATGGGATGAATTAAAATCTAACTATTTGTTTGAATGTGTTACTCTTCTGAAAATGGTTATGCTTACATTTCTATTTTCTTTTGTTCGTATGGTTATTTCATACAGATTATTCTTCGTCTCTGTCATTTCTTAACCAAATTAAAGCACAATAATGACATGATAATTTGAGGTGTATGAGTGAACACTATGCAAAGCTTCATACACTTGAAAAATCAATATATATATATATATATATATATATATATATATATATATATATATATATTATTTTTCCTTTGGGTTCCTAGTGGAACATAGAGCTTCAGCAGCACGCCTCCATTGCACTCTGTTTTCCGCAGTCTTTTGAACTTGACGCCACAACTAGCCACAAGCTTTCATTGCTTCCTCATACACCTCCTCTTCCATGTCACCCTCTGACGTCCAACTCGTCGTTTCCCATTTGGATTCCACCCGACGGCCTGACCTGGCGCTTGATGTCCTCAATCGGTCTTCTCAGTGTATGCCCAATCCATCTCCATCTCCACTTCATTCTTCTGCATATTTGTTGTGTGATAGGTTGTTGGTTGGTTCGTTACCAGTCGGAGTTCTTCCTCGCTCATTCTTTCTAACCTTCTGGTCTGATCCTCAGTATCGAGTAAGCTAGCGTAGGCGGCAGCTGTTGATGAATGTCTGTAGTTTGTTGGAAATGCTTTTCGTGACACGTCAAGCCTATGAACCATCACATAGCAGCACTGACTTGGCTGAATTGGTGTTGGAAATCTGGATCTTATTCACGCTTTATGCTGAGTGGAGTGGAGTAGATCTCCACACTGGTTTCAGACTAATTAAACCAGGTCTATCTTGCTGTCTTTCCCATCCTGGATGCTTTGACATCCTCGTCTATGACACCACGACCTGTAGTTGAAACCATGCTGCTCTCCATAGGTAGATACATGAAACAGACTACTTCCTTTAGGTTTCTCCCCTTCATGGTCATCCGTGCCTCTTGTTGTTGATACTGTTGTTGATAGGCTGTGTTCATCACCTCCGTCTTCTCTACATTCACTTGAATAGTGTCGCGTTTTCGCTGCCTCGCCACTTCTCTCAACTTGTTGGTTTTCTCCTCTAGATTTTCGAGTTTGTGCGACATTCAACATAAATCATCGTTGGCGAAATGGAAACCTTCAAGGTTCTTTTCATCAATCCAGCCAGCGTATGCCCATCTTCTTGTTCCTCACGGTTTGCCGCATGATCCAGTCCAGTTGACGGCAATCAGGAAGATCATCGGTGATAGTAGGCAGCCTTGTCTTACTCCTGCCTTTACTTCAAAGATGTCATTGAGCTTTTTATTGTTGAGAAATCGTAGCCAAGCATAATCATAGATAACGACATGCCTGTTATACTACTACTACTTACATTATCTGATAAAATCTTTTTTAACCCTGTTTCTTATATAGGGTAATGTAACACTGGAATACTTACCCATTAAAGTTGGTCGTAATTGTGGGAAATTTGAAGCTGTATGTAATGAATTAGGTTCATTCACTTATGAATTGGATTTACAAGCAACACCGGTTGGTATTGAGTCTACTGTACATTTTAGAACAACTATTGGACAACGTCACTGTCAAACTGTTAAATTTACAAATATGACAAAGAGTAAAACTGAATTCATTACAAATGTGAGTTATTGTATACTTTTTTTGAAATATTTACATTTATAAGAGGTTGACTCAGCTAGAATCGATTGTCTTTTGAAGATTGCTGCACTAGAAGTCGAAGATTCTATCATGGAGGCAATTTAGGTTGTAACTAGATGTGTTGTTTGTTAGATGCAAAGTTTTCACTATTGTTTCAATTAGTCTTCATTACTAGATAACCTCTAATGGATATATTCGTAGTGTGGCCATCAAGTTAAAGAAGTCTTTATAGGAATATCGTATAGGAAATTGAAGAGTAGACTGATTCGACCCGAAATTCAACTTACTGATATCCTAATTTAATCCAGGGGAATTACAAACATTCTAGTCTAACATTTTCTTCTTTGTTAAGATAAAGTGAAGCTGAATTTGTCTAAGAAGAGGAAGGAGAATATCATTTCTGAATGGGGGTAATCCAAAGCAAAGAATGTCATTTCAGTCAACTACTTCACAACTTTGATGAAAGTCTTGACTTCAAAACATAATTTTAGGTAAAATCTAGTCCAGATTTGGCGATGCTGGTTTAGTCATTTGCAGTTAAAAACAATCAGATCGTGTACACTTATTTTTAACCTGCTTGTAGCTATAATAGGAAGTTAGTGATCTACTCATCGTCAGAGAACCAAGTAGGCGTATGAAAATACCTTTCGGATCAAAGAAAAACCTTGATTTCTGCCCTATTCATGAATTCCTGTAAATCTATAAATTTTGGAAGAACTTTTTACCTGAATACTTCACATCCATACTTACTAATTTCACGCTTCAGCTGGTAATTGAATAGGGAGTAGAGTCAGGTTAGCTTGGATGCAGGTCCATGCTTCTCTAAAATGCTATTGTGATAGATTCTGGTCAACTTACATAACCTTCTGCTTACAAATAGTTTGATGTCCAAACTTGAATAGTAAACGTTTCTGAGAATTCAAGAACTATCCTACACTAAAATTGATCACATACTTACCTTTCACTAGATGCTTGAATATCATTAAGCATAAAGCAGCTTAACTATCATTGTATTTCTCTATATAAGGACCCTTTTCAGTTCATTGAACAGAAATGTAGTCTGAAGTTGTCTGTTGAATACAAGTATCCTTCAGAAGTTTGTTAGCATCTTGTAAGCTCTCTACTTCAATATCTCATGTAGAGTGAAGGTATACAGATGTGTCTCTTCACTGTTCCAAACCAACACTAGTGTTGGATAGAAGATGCCTGATGTTGCCAATCCCCTTTAGCTTTACATCGATTACATTTTCAAAACAATCTTCAGAAAGATGTATCGTGGTGACGCAGACCTGTTGCCTGATGAAAGAATTTTTAGCTTTAAACATACAAACGATATTGTTTTACTGTGCTACAGCAAACAGGCTAGTTAAATAGGACTTATTCAATTAGCTGTCAGTTTCGCACATTTGAAGTGGAAATGCTCTTACAATATCGGAATAAGCCTGAACTTGTACTCACTCTCTATGATTTATCATTAAAAGTATTCGTAACGTTGTGTAACTGGGTATTTTTAAGTACCATCGAAAGTAAGATTGGTGAAATTTCTAACCTCGTTTCGTAATTCAGAGCGACCATCTTTGGTGCCACTATGACTTCAGCCTGTCTATAAAATGTTAGATATGCATGTCGGTGCAGATACTGATGCTCTATGTTTCTCAACTCTGACTTCTTCAAGCTGGGAATGTGCAAGCAATCTGCATGTTTCATCAGCACTGTCTCCCCATGACTGCTTACATCCAATGAAAATGTCATGTGCGTAACTCTAGGGTGAGTTGGAATGTATTCGATCGTGATATAGTTTGTTATCTATTGAGTGTAGTCTTCTTAAAACACTAACTTCAGTGACTTGGAAATGTGTTAAAATTGTCGTTCCAGTGGCTGTCATACCGCTCACCGTTTGTTTACAATGGGAATGGTTTTTTCCCCGTTCTATCTTCTACTTTCTGTATCTTCATAATATTGCGTTTTCATTTTGTTTGGTTATCTTATTGGTGCTCATATTGTACCAAGTTTTTGTTCTAAATTGTATTATGTTATAATTGTACACTGCTACCTACCGGAGGTTAAAAAAGGAAGTGATGACAACAGTATTCTACTCATTCTACAGGCATTGGTGAGTAGTAGAGCTTTGTAGTGGAGTTAAGCTTGATTCATTTGTGTCGTACAGATAAACAAGTTTTATTATCCTGAGCATTTATTCATATACGCCTTATATATATATCTTTATACAGCTATATTCAATATCTACTTTAAGTAAACTTGAAGTGGGATAATGGTGTCACTTACTAATTTCTAGTATAAGTACACTTAGGCTTAAGTAATGGTTTCACACATAAAGCGAGAATAATAACTAGATTTCAAGGAAGTATTTGTCGGGGATTGATATCTGTTGGATGACTGTTGAAAACTCTACAGTACTAGACAGAGACTTCTCAGCAGTACTCACTGACGACCTCGTCATGAATTGAACTCCGGACCTTCAGATCTCATTATGAGCACGTCAATCAGTAAGTCACTTGACTGGAGTTCAACAGTCTACAGTTTTCTACACCCGTTAATTCGGATGACTGTCGTTAAAAGTCATCAGTTGGCTTACGCTTCGCTTTCCACTTATTATTAGTCCCTTGGGTTCCTAGTGGAACATAGGGCTTCAGTAGCACGCCTCCAGTGACCTCTGTTCTCTGAGATCTTTTGAACCTGGTCCCACGACAGCCCACAACCTCTCATTTCCTCCTCGCACGATTTCCTCCATGTCACCGTGGGACGTCCAACTCGTCGCTTCCCATGGGGATTCCACTCGAGCAACTGGCCTGACGCGTGATGTCCTCAGTCGGCCTTCTCAGTGCATGGCCAATCCATCTCCACTTCTTCCTGCATATTTGTTGAGCGACAGGTTCTTGGTTGGTTCGTTCCCAGTTCGCTTTCCACTTGGTTGACCCAAAGGTCATGGCTTCTCACCACAACTGTTTGAATAACCATCTAGACGTATATCACAATGGTTCTCGAACTGATCTGAGTCTGTGATGAATACTAGGTTGAAATAAGTAGATCCTCAAAAACCTTAAAGTCAATAGCTATATTTATGAATAAAGACACGGATTGATTGTGAATATGATCGATAAATAGAATTCAACTTTCAGTTATATAGAGAATGCTCAAATCTGCTTAACAAACACTTTACCATCAACATGTTCGTAGAGCAAGTAGCACCATTGAATTCTATGTTAGACTTGAAAAGTGTTTTGAATACTGATTAAAAGTTCAAACTATTCAATCAACTGAAATCCGTAAGAATATTTAGCTTAAAAGGGATGAAATGAAACGATACTGTAATAAGGACTCATATTATTATCTCAGTTTTCCCGATACTTACACCTAGATGCATAAAAAATATAATATTGGTGAATAACTTGTTTCTAACTTTATTTGGTTATGGAAAAAGTGCAAATTGTCATCATTGTCATCATCAACATCTTTATTTGATACCAAGGAAGAATAGTAATCAGGGAATACTTTGACTGGAACCAAAGTAAAAAACTGTTATGCTGATCAATGAAAGGAGTTAAGTGAAATTGAAATTCACCTATACCCAGGTTACAAGTCCAAAATGTGATGAAACTCATGTCTTTGAATCCACTATCATCCATTGCTGAGCAAGATAAGCAGACTTACTTAACACAGAGTATGCAAGTCAATCAAATTGAAGAGATATCTATGAGTACTTGATAATTGATTCAAAAACTAACTAATATTCTTCTCACTTTTAGATCGATAATCCAGACTACCATTGTGAGAAACAATTGACTGTAGCACCTGGAGTTGAAGCAATCTTAGAGGTTATTTTTGAACCAACTACTATAGGCAATAGAATAGCTAATTTATTAGTTACTAGTGTACAAGCTGGTGAGTATAATTTTCGTCTCAAAGGTACAGCATTACCTCCACAACCTCAAGGTCCAATAACAATAAAAGCTGGAGAAACAAAACATATCATCTTTCGAAATGTTTTCCCTACATCCATACTTTACTCTTTCCAGGTAGATTTATGCTAAAGTTTCAAAAAATTTTTTTTTAATGCTACACCCTAGGTTTTTCAGTTATATACATTATTTATGTATGTCATTATATGTTTTATCAGAGTTGAACTGAAGATGGTGTATACAAAAGTAGATTTTCTTTGCTTGGTGGATTAAACATTTTACTTTCAACTATTGAAAACTGAGAGAAAACCAAAACATTTCATTTCATCTTTAATAAATTTATGTGAAGTTTGAAGAATGTGAAAGATAACAAAACATCGACAGTATGATTTTACATAACACAACAACATATTAGTTTTTAGTGAAAATGCTTGTGAGAAGACTATAATGGCGAAATATTTCTTCATAACTTAAACTAGATCATGGGTATGAACTGCACTTTAGCTGGAAACTATATTGTTCAGCTAGTTGAAGATGCTGGCATAATGTAATGTAGTCTTCTGAATGCGTTGAGCAGAAATCTGACTATACTTGATTTAAATTGCCTTTCTCACCTGTCAGATGAAAAATGATACTTTAAGATTGGTCTACAACCACTGTCAGTCCAAGGATAAGCAAAGCAGTCGAGGAATGTTACAACTACTTCATTTACTTAGGGAGTGGCTAGTTGCAGATGAAATCTCAGCTCGGATACAAAAGACCTGTTTAGCATTTGTCAACTTGTGTCATTTGTCGCACTGACTAGGGAGATATCCCATTACTTAGTAAAGGATGAGTTTAGTAGAAACACTATATGAGCAATTCTGAAGTCAGGCGATGAGTAGTAAGCAAGAAGAGCAAATTGGACTGATAAAGTTGTGAATCTTAGTCGACTGAGATGTCCTGGACATGTGTTTTGCGTGCCGAGAGAGTACCAACCTTCACATGTCATTCAAGGAGAAGACGTATTAAGTTGGAAGAGATTTCAGGGTGGCCATACAAAGACTTGACACTAGTCTTTGAAGTCACACCTATGTGCATTACTCTAGTAGAATCTGCTGCTGTGTGGTATCATTAATGTCCAACACTGGCACAAGTAGATACAAAGTAAATAAAATAAGAAATCGAAATCATTCAAAATATTTAGAATGCGTTTATTTAAACCTACTTGAACATACGGTTTAGTGTGGCGAAGGTTTAAGAATGGTCAGAATAAGTGATAATATCTTATATGTGAATTACCTTAGTAGCAATTCTAACAATGTTTGAGGAAGCAGGTACATCCAGCTGATGAGTCCCAAATAAGACTAAATGCGCATCCTGGATTCCACTGCTAGCCACGATCAATCATTAATATAATTACTATGCAGGCAATATCGAGGCATCCCACAGGAGCCCATATGCCAATAGAGACCGATCAATTCGGTCCAAGCAACGACGGTATCATATAAAAATAGTCATACTATTATTATTTTGTTGTACAGCTAAACAGTATTGATTTCCTAATTTTGCAATATTTTACGGTTAATTAGTAGCCAGTCCACTTCGAAACTGTATACAGCTGAGTATTCATGACATAGAGGGCAACCATTTTATTAGTCTATAAACTTAGTCCTTCTTGTTATGATACTTGTAATTTCTCGATTGCTATACAGGGCCGGACTGCTCGACCTCCACTGACAGACGGACTCCTGTGTGTATGCCTCGATACTGCTGATGCTATATTGATCTTGGTGGCTAGCAGAGGAATCCAGGACGCGCGTTTCATTCTACTTGGGACTCAACAACTGAATGTATCTGCACTTTAATGAGTGATGTTGTTCCAAATGAGGGTCATTGCACAAAAGGTGGCTAATATGTCCCAGTGGCTAAGTGGATAACACTTTTCTGTTTGAAGTGAAGGATTCTGGTTTCGTGCCTCACTGGTGTTCAGGTACACATCCACCTGACGTGTCCCAAGTAGGATGAGACGCGCATCCTGGATTCCTCTGCTAATTACCGAAATCAATATAAAATATAGTCCTTCTCACTCTTTCCAAATTTACCAAGGAAACTAGCTGCCTGAAATTCTATAATGATTGTAAACATTATGGCATTTGATCCTAATTTTATTAGAATAACACGTTTACAACAAGCCTATAACGATCAGTAAGTTTCATTTTCAGTAGAATGTCTCTTATAGTTGTCTTGTTTCTGGCTAGAAAGGCATAATTAAGCTACTTTTTCTCACAATTTAGTAACATAGTAAATGTATGCTTCACTTATTACAACTAATCACTTCACTTATTCTTAGGTTGATAACACACTGTTCAATCTGCCAAAACAAAGTGAAATCATAAGATCTGGCAAAGAATTCCGGATCCCTATCGGTCTTGATAGTAATATCATCAAGTCTCCAATAACAGGTAAACTGGTTGTAACTGCAGTTCGTGCACAGTCCAGTGCACAGATCACTCGTAAAGGCCAGACAAGTGGAATTGTTGACAGTGTAAATTCTTCATCCTCATCTTCATCATCACCACAACAGCAGCAACAGTCTACAATCTCAGACTTGCGATCTAGTGAAAAGGGTGAAGGATTTCAGTGGGTGTATTACCTTCGGGGTGTTACATATAGAAGACAGTACATTGAACAATATTGAAACATACTTTAAAATATTAATTATAGACTTTTATTACTAGTGAGCTATTATAAAATGTGAAAATTGTCTTGTTTTATACTTCTGGTTATTGGTTTAATTTCAATATTTTCATAAAACTCATTTTGCCGTGGTATCTGTACCAGATACCTCAAAGATTATATCGTGTATAGTCTCATGAAGAAATGATATGACATCGGACATCATAAGTCTGAGTAGAACTTGGGTACTGGGGTAGGATACAGTTTCATTTAAGCTTATTTATTTGATATGCTACTCAGTGGAACAGTAATGTTTACTGGATTATGTTTCAGACATAAATTATTGTCCATAGTCATATCAAGATAATTACACAACTTCTTTGAGATATCCTTTATATAGTCCTAATTTCTTCACCCCATTTGTGATATTATTATTATTATTATTATTAGTCCCTTGGGTTCCTAGTGGAACATAGGGCTTCAGTAGCACGCCTCCAGTGACCTCTGTTCTCTGAGATCTTTTCAACCTGGTCCCACGACAGCCCACAAGCTCTCATTTCCTGCTCGCACGACCTCCTCCATGTCACCCTCGGACGTCCAACTCGTCGCTTCCCATGGGGATTCCACTCGAGCAGCTGGCCTGACGCGTGATGTCCTCTGTCGGCCTTCTCAGTGCATGGCCAATCCATCTCCACTTCTTCCTGCATATTTGTTGAGAGATAGGTTCTTGGTTGGTTCGTTCCCAGAGTTCCTTGTGGCTTATTTTTTCTGGCCATCTGATCTTCAGCAGCGAGCGTAAGCAGTTGTTGATGAATGTCTGTAGTTTATTGGAAATACCTTTCGTGACGCGCCAAGTCTCTGAACCATACAGGAGCACTGACTTGACGTTGGTGTTGAAAATCCGGATCTTGTTCCGCATGCTGAGTGCAGAAGATCTCCACACTGGTTTCAGGCTAATGAACGCCTGTCTTGCTTTTCCGATTCTGACTTTGACGTCCTCGTCCGTCCCGCCTGTAGTTGAAACAGTGCTTCCTAGATAGGTGAAGGAGGTTACTTCCTTTACGTTTCTCCCGTTGACGGTGATTGGAGTTTGTTGTTGTTGTTGTTGATGGTGGTGGTGCGGTATCTTCATCACCTCTGTCTTCTCTATATTCACCTGAAGTCCCGTCTTAGCTGCCTCTTCTGTCAACTTGTTAGTTTTTGCCTGCAGATCTTCAAGTTTATGTGACATCAGGCACAAGTCATCGGCGAAATCCAAGTCTTCTAGGTTCTTTTCCGCAGTCCAGTCAGTGTATCCCCCTCTTCTCGCTGCCTACTGTTTGCTGCATGATCCAGTCCACCACAATAAGGAATATCATGGGGGATAGTAGGCAACCTTGTTTCACTCCTGTCTTCACTTCAAAGGCATCGCTGAGCTTCCCATTGTGGATTACTTGGCATGTAGCATCTTCATATAGTTGTTGAATGAGGCGGATAAAGGTTTGCGGTACTCCGTAGTATTGAAGCAGTTTCCAAATTACTTCTCGGTCGACGCTGTCAAAGGCCTTCTCAAAGTCGATGAAGTTGAGGTGGAGAGGTGATTGCCATTCTGTGCTCTGTTCTATGATGATGTGTAGTGTGGCGTTGCAATTTGGTCTGCACATGATTTGTACTTCCTGAAGCCTGCCTGTTCCGGTCGTAGTTTTGAATCCAGTGCCTCCCTTAGCCTCTCCAGGATGATGCGGCTTAATATTTTGCTTGCTCTGGGTGGACAGGAGAGTGATTCCGCGCCAGTTCTTGCAAGCACTGAGGTCTCCCTTCTTCGGGAGTTTGACAAGGTAACCCTTCTTCCAATCGTCAGGTACCTTCTCTTCCTTCCACACCTTCTGCAATAGTGGTGTGAGCATGGCCTCTGTTGTCTCTGCATCTGTTTTCAGTGCTTCTGGCGGTATTCCATCTGGTCCTGCTGCTTTCCCGCATTTCAGTAGCTTCATTTGTGATATGGGTAGTAAGATTTTCCAAATATCTAGAGCAGGTGCTGAGTTATTTCTGTTTTATTAGGGTGTTGATTCGATGAACGAAGGTTCGGCTATCAATCACTTCCTCCACCCTACTATGTTAGTTTTAAGGATTATCACCTTATTCTATTTTGTGGTTGTGCGTAGTTGAAGGATTAGCTATGGCTAAACTTCCCACCAGATTATTTATTTTAATAGGTTTCACCAATTTTGATTTAGCTTGATTTTGTGCTCCAATAGCCTAATTGACGCTGGTCGACGGATTTGACCGATGTATTTGACCTCGCAATTGTTAAAAGGGATTTGGTAAACTAAGTTATTCTTCATAATCAGATCAGTAGTATTTTTTAGCCTAAAAAAGCTTATTTTGAAATGAGTTTGTAGGTTTAAATACCACTCTAATCCCAGATGACCTTATTCAGAATCCTGCTTAGTGTCTTTGAGGTGCTTTCTTTCTACGGTAATACTTCAGAGGTTTTAAATTCTCTGTTCACAGGTTGACCATTACGATTATTACTATTAATTGATGAGTAAGGGTTCTTTAATGTATCTGGTTTTTTGTCTTAGATGTTCTGTCTTCCTAGCATGTTTCCTGGCCCAATTGCTTAAATATTTTACCAAGCCAACATTAAGTGATGTAAGGTGAGAGATGGTATGAAGTCTAAGTAACGATTGGAGTGTGAAGGTTTTCTACAGCCAATAACATCTGAACTCCTATCCTATATTCGTCTTATCCTGTAAACCAATATCACTAATTCCCCTTCACTATTTTCTAATTAGATTTCATTGACTACTGAATTGATATTTATAAAGAAACCATCTATTTGTTCCTATTTCAACACTGTAAGCGTATGACCTACGGATAGGAATCATATTTTTGGACCAGGATTTAACGTTTCGACAGCTATTCGTCCTCATAAATTCATAAATATATGTGCCAAAACAAGGGATGTAGGTAATCGATCCCATGTCATCTGCTTGTGTTTATTTCTCAGACATTATTCTGTAACATTAAGATTGTAGAAGGTAGGCATAGGTTAACAGTCTACTTATCAACAGATTAGAACAAGATAAATATAAGCGAACAATATTAATTTCGCGGCCAATGCGTTAACCATTCAGTCAGTGGATCTGTTTTCACTAGTTCACAATTTCCAACTTCTGTCAATTTACGACATAGTGCGACTATCACACAAGGTCTTCAGTTGGCATCCGCTTCACTTCCGACTAGTTGATCCTACAGTTCAAAGCTTCTCATTAGAGTTTCGTGATATCCATTTGGAAGTAAGTCACTAGCCGGTTCGTGGGTGCCTACTGCTGAGGAGTCCGATACTAGGACGAAACAGCTGTCCAGTGCTTCCAGATTTTCAATGGTTTTCCAACTGATCTCAGTCCATGATGAATACTACTTCTAAATTATAAAATCCCCATTCATCTCAAAAATCTTGTCTTCAATTAAATCCTCTTCAGACTTCTTTACTCTAATACAAGTAGTTTGAATAAACTGGGACATTGAGTTAGTATGATTCATTGTAAAAATACACCTTATACAATGAACTAATACAAATAGCTTGATATATATATATAAAATTTAAACAACCATGTAGATTTGTCGGTTGATGTGATAAATGTTTTAAAATAACGATGGTGATTATAATACAAACAATAAAGGTGATAACGTTACCTAAAGCACATGGAATATAGATGATAATAATGATATGAACTAAGAAAGCAGCATGAAAATGTAGACATAGATAATCCAAGTGGGTCAAAAGCACTTTATTATTATTACTTTTCCCTTAGGTTCGTAGTGGAACATTGGGCTTCAGCAGGACACCTCCATTGCACTCTCTTCTCTGCAGTCTTTTAAACCTGACGCCATGACTGCCTACAACCTTTCATTTCTTCCTCACACACCATCTCCTCCATGTCACCCCCACACAAACAACTCATCGTCTCCCCTTTGGATTACACTCGAGGATCTGATGCGTGATTTCCCTAAACCGTCTTCTCACTCTATGTCCAATCTATCTCCACTTTCTTATTCTGTATATTTGTTGGGCGATAGGTTGTTGGTTGGTTCGTTGCCAGGTCAGAGTTCCTTGTTGCTTATTCTTATTATTCTCGTCAACTGATTTTCAGTATGGAGCTTATCGGGTCAAAAGCATAGGAAAATAAAATTTACGTAATACTGAAGAATGAGGTGAATGGATAAACAAAGCGTAGACAAATAAGGTAAGTATATGAAAGAGGTGAAGAATAAGAAAGGGGGAATGAAAAATGATTGAATGATAAAGTTACTAATTAAGTAATCTCTGGCCAAGAGAGAGACAAGAGATGTACAAACTTCTTCTAGACACTAAGACTAGGATTATTATCTCGAATTCCTACAGCTTCCTACAACTATGTGTAAAAGAGGAGTTCGAACACCTTTCGAAAGATGAGGTGGTATGCGGTGAGTAATCTAGCAAACACTGTTCTTATCTACCTATCAAGTGACCACTATCAACAAGGTGAGATAAAATCAAACTTCTGATGAGTTTTATCTGTCCCTTTCCCAACCATGAAGGTGTGTGCTCAGCAACACATTCGTTAAGTTGTCTAGTAGTACGCCCTATATAGCTTTCGCTACAGGAGCAGCTAAACTTGTAAATATATATGGAAATTGCAAAACTAGATGATTGGAGGTGAAATGAAAATTTGGACCGCAGCCGGATACGA